CAACATAAATCAAAAATACAACCCACGACGGAGCAACCTTTAGTAATTAATTAAAGAGACAAACAACACTCAACAGCAAAGGTTTGACAAAGGAAACACCATATATGAGTAAACGACGAGACAAATAACACTCAATAACATAATAGTAGTAGTGCATAAAGCAAATGTTTGACAAAGGAAACAACGGAAGAGGCAAAGGAAATCATTTATACTGCTCGACGAGTGCATTTAACATCAGAGGATTCGCTCCCATGTATGTAGTCATTAGGTGTCCGCCTTTGAAGACAATTGTGGTCGGGACAGCACTTACCTCGTAACGTGTTGTGATGTCTAATTCTTCGTCAATGTTAACTGTGTAGAATTTGAACTGATCTTTGTATTTTAAGTCCAAGTTGTTCAATGTGGGGACCATCAAAAGACATCGACGACACCAATTCGCTGTGAACAAAACCATTACTGGGACTTTGGATTGGATCACAAGTGAATCCCATTCCGATTCAGAGATACTTTGTACTACATATATAAATGAACAAACCGAGATTTAATACGCTATAAATAAATGTAAGTTACAGAAATTTATTAAAAAAATAATTTTCAATAAGGATATTGTGGAAACATAAACTTAAAAAAAATTCATGTATTGTCTACATGATACCTTAAGAAAGTTGTTTTCCCATAAGAGCAAGTCCAATGGTAAAGTCCTTGAAAAGACTCTTAAATATTTTTTTATTATAAATTGTGACAATTTTAAAATTAAGAGTTTGTGTTGAATCCTTAAAATTTTCATTGTCCAATGGTAGAGTCCTTAAATGGGTTTCTTAAAAAAAAAAGAAATTATTTTAAAATAAAAATTATAAACATTTTTATTTGATAAAACTTAATAATTATTACAATTTTCTAAAACTTTTAAACATACAAAACATATAAAAAATATAAATCAAAAACCGGAATAACGATTAGTCGTTAGCTTAATTCGTGCCAAATTTATGCCATATATGAACTCGAGTCTTAGTAAAACCCATTCACAAAAACAAGACTTTAGCATTTAAACAAGAAAAAATGGATAAATTTTTGCAAGACAGAAAAAAAAAAGTGTTGTAGAATAAAAAAAACAAGAGATAATTTATTTTTGGCTTCTATATTTTTTCCTCACCCAATCACAAAGCAACACAACAGGAGTCCTTAACAAATCCTAAAACTCTAATCTAAGAAATAATTCTTAAGCTAAGAAACTCTAGTATCTTGTTTTCATTAATTTTAATGATTTTTTAAGCTAAGGATTTCTTAAGAACTTCACTAAGAAACACCATTGGACTTGCTCTAAGAGCATCATTATAGGGGGGATGTTAGCTGAATCTTAGGTATTAAAGTGATTTAAATTAAATAGTTAATACCTTAATAAGCTAAGGAACGTTCCTTAGCTAAGGAACGTTCCTTAGCTAAGATTAATTTTGAGGGTTAAGAGGTGCCACGTGTCACGTTTTGATTGGGCGGATTTCACATATTCTACAGATACGTTTTCTAATTTCTTCGATAATAGAGCTCGAGTTCGTGATCGAGGTATGCATCAACAATTGAAGAATGATTTGGTCGAGCATATATGGACAAAATATAGAAGAAATTAAGTTTAAAATATTTGTGATTTATGTTATAAATTGTATCTCATGTATGTTTTAATTTTTTTAATTTGCAACAATTATTAAATTTTCTATAATTATAAATTTTATTTTTATATTAATATTTTTTTTCTAAGAACCACATGTTAAGAGCCTACCATTAATCACACAAAAATCTTAACTCAAAAATACTATCTCTTAACAATCACTTTTACAAATAAATTATTTAAATATTACTAAGATCTATCTCTAAGAAACTACCGATAATGATGCTCTAACTAACTTAGAACTTTTTTGGTTAAAATTACCCTTAAGCTTACCAGAAGAGACCAAGGCATCGTTAGAAGGCATCGTTACGTCGTAAGTTTTGATCAAGAGATCTGACTCTGATGACATTCCAACACTAAACCATAAGCATACCAAACACGTCACCGTTACTAACAATTGGTACGAAACTCTAATTTGCTCCATCGATACTTTCGGATCTCTCACTCTCTCACAACCCGTCTCAAGTTTTGAACAAAACCCTCTACGCTGGTTTTATAAATGTCGATGATTTACATTAATTAAATAATCACTACTACATGACCTCACACACTAGTTTAATCCACTGTACGTTGATTTCAAGACATTGTTCAATTCTTCGAAGCTTCCTTTCAAATACTTTATATATTTCATCATATCAAAAAGTAATTTATATATTAACATATCGAAATCACCACATCTCGATGAGTATCATCCTTAGCTGTCTTTTGTCTTTACCTTCCCCAACTAATACTTTTTTTTTTCTTCCCCAACTAACACTTTATATACAAAACACGAGTTTCTCTAACATATTTTCTCTTTTCTGGAAGAAATTTTGTATTATTTCTCTTCACCTCAACAAATTTTGTAATGCTAGTTTGCTCCATCGATGCTTTCTGATCTCTCTTTCTATATATCTCTCAACCCGTTTGAAAGTGTTGAAAACAAAGCATATTGAGGTTTTATAAACGTCCTAAGATTTAGGGTAACAATCACCACAATACTTTATATTTTACTTGGTAAATAACATATACGTTTATTTCAAAAAATTTATTCATTTTTTCAAGACTTCTTTCCAAATAATTTATGTTAAGTGATATTTTTAACAGAAAGATGTTAGGGAAACTTGCCTTTACTTCTGACGCTTCTCTACAGCTTTGCATTTACAATCATATAGAATGATCTAAAAACTCTTCATTCCTCTACTTGATGCATTTTGTTTCATTTCTTTTTCAAAAATCAAAACCCTTCTTTTTATTTACTACAGCAGATCCAGAAACCTAAAAAACTCAAAAGCATATTAGGAGATTAGTTCTCGTACATGTAATGTAATTATTAGCTATTACTTAAGTCTCATTTAGTAAAATACAAAGAATGTATTTAGATATTTCGATATGTATATAAGGCTAAGCCTTCACACATTAATAAAACAAGAAATCCTTTATACTAAAGTAGGGTTCTTGACATGGAATCAGAGCGCTAACCTAATTTTTTAGGTTATCGATTTCTGCCTCTCTATTGTTTTCTATCGAACAACTCTTGCTTCGATCTCTGAATTCATTCTCTAAAAACTCCTTCTTTGACCTTAGTATTCACGATCCTTTTGTCGTAATAATTTTGTCCTTCTTATCCATCTTAGTCATACCCCAAGTTCAAAGTCTAGCTCTTGTGCATAAAGGTTGTTTGACTTTGTAGTCAGGTTCTAATCCGGGAAGATAGGATCTAATCCAGGAAGATTTTCTCCGTCAAGCTAGGCTTTATCTTAAAGTCAGGGTCTAAAGTAAATATAAAAATCACCACATTAATTATTGTCACTCATTATCATTCTTAGCTGTCTTTTGTCTTTTATCTCCCGGTCTTCCCCAACTAAAACTTAAAAAATTCTAAACACGAGTTTCCCTTACATCTTCTTTTCTTAAAAACTAAACAATTATATTAATTTGGTGTTTTTCTAAAAGAAAGGGACATTACATACGTATATTCTTACGGTACAAACTACAAAGTCAACAACCCTTATGCACAAGAGCTAGAGTACGTATCGTCAACTCATGAGGGCTTAGCTTATCTTCACGGTAATTTTTCTAATTTTGTGTTTGTTATTAGGGTATAGAAGTTACATGTTTTAAAGGGTAATACTCATGAATCTAAACGGGAGAGAGGACCCTCTCCGGTGAAACAAGAAAACTCGGGTCCTGTGCTTATGCATTGTTGGCACATCTCATAAACCAAAATTGTTCCTTCTGTTCCAAATTTTACATTTTTCCAATCCTTTTATTAGCGTTCTTAAGGTTAACTTGTTGATGGGTTTGACAAAACCAACAATTAGTGGGCCTATATGGGCCTGGCGAAAATGGTATGAAGAGAAAGGAGAACAAGAGTGGCCCATCACATACACGTATATTTTCTCTACGTGAGATAAAGGGATAGTGGTGGTAGGTGAGAGACAAGACATAAGAGAGTTCTAGAGAAAGAGAAGAAAAGAGGGTTCTTCTTCAACAAGCTTTCTCGTTCTTTGTTTTTTGTCTTTGATCTTTGTTCTTCTTGAGATTGTATCTGAAACCAAAAAGACAACATCACAAGTCAAGTGGTGTTTGTAATCTCCTTTGATATAGTGAAGCTTTGGGAGCAAGAGTCCTCCCCCGAGACGTAGCGGTTAAGCCGTGAACTCGGTTATCAATTTGTTTGTGTTTGTTTCTTTCACAAGTCACCGTTCAAGTCTTTTAATTTCTCTACATAACTAATAACTAATCACCAAGAGCTCAAACCTCTCACACACTATGACACAGCTCTAAATATATCTCTTTCTCCTAATTAAGTGTCCTTAAATTCAATGATACTAGGTGATCACCCGTACTACGCCGCAGATTTTTTTCGATTTGTTGTTTTGTTTTATTTAATGTGATATCACTAATGTAATCAGTAATTACTCTTAGTTTCAACATAATTTTTCAATCATCTTTCTCAACAATGTATCACTTGAAATAATTTTCTTTCTAAACAAATTTTATAGATGGTCAATATTGGAGTTATAGAAACCTCAAAATTTTTATGATAGAGCTTTTCCTACGCGCTCATCATCCTCTGTGATATATTAGATAGATATTATTAAAGAGAATAATCTACTTAAATCATTAGTTTACCCATTATACTATTATCTACTCATATTTTTAGTTAATACTACAAAACATTAGCGGAAAAAAAAAAACGAGAAAACCAACAAAATAATTTTATTGAAAAAAAACACATATAATCATAAAAAAAATAATGTTAGTATTGGTACAATTCAATCTGGACAATTAATAACAAATGTACCATTAACCCTTGGAATGAAATCTGTAGAGCTTACATTAGCTACTTTAGTGAATTCAATTACATTTATACTAGTCCCTGGTTCGATCGATCACACAAGTCTCCGGAAAAAAGTAACGGAAAAAGTAAAAAATTTGAAAGCACGATTTGGATTTTGTCTTTGTGGACTAGGATAGGTTTCTCTCGCGCATTAAAGATTCAATCTTTTCGACATCATCGGGTGTATCAACGCCATGAGCTTCATGATCCACCTTTATAACCTGTAAACAACCAACATAGAAACCTTAGTACCTAAAGATCTAAGTTACTTCTCTCTATATTCTCTTAAGCCAAGGCTAGATTCTTTGAGATGATAACTCGCCTGGCGTGCATCTTTTTTTTCTTATGTGAAAGAAATTCTCATAATAGTGGGAAAGATTTCTGGTACCTTCATTTTGTAGCCATTCTCAAGGACTTTGAGCTGCTCTAGATCCTCTTCTTGCTGCAATGGCGTTGGTTGAAGCTCCGAATATACTTTCAGAAACTTTGAATCAAAGCTCTGTGAAGAGAAATATAATCAAGATTAGGTGATAAAAGAAAAGCGAATTACATATAGAATAAGAGAAACCGGCTGACCTGAATTCCAAGATGAAGCATGTACGGAAAATCTGGATTGACTTTACCACTCCTAAACCGCAAACAACATTAATAATCAAGATTGCAAAAAAAAAATCAATTTGAGCTAATGAGGAAGAATAAGATAATTCATTTTACCAATACACATAAGAACGACATGAAAAAAGAACTTACTTGTTATAAGGAATCAAACCCCTCGAGAAATAGATAGCATAGCCACGATTGTCCACCACACATTTAACTCGGTTAGGATCAAGCCCGTCTTCTGGTTTCAATGATGTCACCGCTGTGCTAAACACTGCATCAGGTGTTACCTAAAAACCACAACCATACGAAAACTATTCAGCACCATTTTTGAAAAAACAGGAGTTTAAGTATTAGGAACATAATTCCAGTCCAAGATGACACATATACGATATCTAACTAAGCATTTTACGAGACCTGAAGTGCTTTGACTACACCATCTATAATCTCAGGCTCAATGAGTGGTTCATCTCCTTGAATGTTAACAACCACATCATACTTCTTCTCCAGCTTTTCTAGCGCTTCATTGCACCGCTCAGTGCCTAAACATCACCCAAATGATACAGAGCTTAAGCCAGAGGATCCATATTCCCCAAAATAAAAAATCAAAACATTGAAGAAAACAGTATACAGACCATTTCTACAAGACTCTGAAGTCATGATGACATCGGCACCAAATCCACGACAGCACTCCGCAATCCTTTCATCATCCGTGGCTACAACTGTTTAAATCAAAAACACAAAACAAATCAGACATCTTGTAATATTAACAATCACAAGTTAACAAAAGAACTCAAAACCAAGGCAACTTCATAGCAAAGATCTTATAGATGTGTAAAGTAGAGATTTTTCATATTTAAAGATTCTGAGACAACATTACCAATATGATCAAGCGTAGTAGCTAATTTCGACCTCTCCCAAGTCCTCTGTTCAATAACGAATCAACAAAAATGAGAAAGACAAAAACTGAAACAAGATACATACATAGTTACAAACATATACAATTTACCAAAAGGCACGAAAAATTCAAACTTTAACTTAAACCAGATTGAGAGATAATGAAAGTCGAAAACTTTCTAACGAAAATAAACTTGAATGTGTGATCTGATTACTTAAAGGCATGAAATTTCCAGTGAATTTGCCTAACTAAGCCAGATCCAACACAGCGATACTAAGATTCATACAGAGAATAAACAGAGATATTGAAAAAACTAAGGAGAAACCTGGATCATGGGTTTGCCGAGGATTTGCACGAGAGGCTTACCCTCGAATCGAGAGGAAGCGTAACGTGCGGGGATGATTCCGACGACCCGGCTCCGGAATTTTCTGGATCGACCCAGATACGCACTTGCGCCAATTGCCGCAGCAATCGCTGCTCCGGCCAAGATCCCGTGTACAATCCATGTTTTCTGAGAAGAAGAAGAAGACGACGATGAAGAACACACCGACATCACTTTGCTCCGGTGAGTGAGAGAGTGAGACAGAGAGAAAGAGAGAGAGATTGTTCTGTTGAAAAAGCGGTGGAAAAGACCGGTCTGATCCGGTTTAATTAGACTTTGTGACCAAATTCAATTTCTTACAAAGGTCAATTTGCTAAATATCTTAATTATGGAATCTAATTGGATAAATAATTTTTGAGCAAATAAATAAATTGTTAAAATAAAAAAGTGGAAATATTTCAGATATAATGAAAAGAAAAAACATAAGCATCATCATTTTATTTTTATTTTTTTTGGTTATCATTAAAAAAAAAATTATCACCCTTTTAATAAAAAATGACAAAATTTTAAATCACCAAAGAAAGTTTGACCAAATCCACATAAGATAATTTATATTTAAGAAAAACATGTAGTTTTTGCAAATGACAGATCAAATGGAATGGAACGTAGTGCTATTATCTTTCTAACTATTTAGGATAATTTTGAGAGAAAAAAAATCAGAAAACTTTAGATATGAATTTGAAACCAAACCCTAAACTTAGAATACACACAAATCCTTCCTCACTGCCTTATCCTAAACAACAAGCTTTCATGACTAAAAATATAAAGCTGTTTGGGTTGTCACCTGAAAGTCGACATTTTGACAAAACCTTGGAACCTGTTTCTTGTAAGAATCAACATGAGCTCAGAAGAAGATGTGTTTAGTCTCATCAGCGTTCTTGGTCTGGCCGTTTTCATCGGTCTCTGCATCTTGCTCGTTGTTCTTATTGCAACCTCAGCTCTCATTCTTGTAATCTACGCCATCGTCGACTGCATTCTCCGACCATTCTTAGGAACATGTCTCGACCTAGATCTCGAAATCGGAGTACAAAGAGGCCAACAACGTGCTAGAATCGTGACTTACCATGCAATCATCCCGACCGGTCTACGATCACCAGATTTCGAGAGAGAAGGAAAAAAGCGTGGGCTAAAACAAAGCGCGATCGAAACCCTACTACCGAAATTGCTTGTTGGACAAGGCAACCATGAGGACGACAAAGAGAGGTCACTAGAATCAAGAGAATGCGCGATTTGCCTCAGTGGTTATGTCGTTAATGAAGAATGCAGAGTATTTCCGGTTTGCAGACATATCTATCATGCGCTTTGTATTGACGCTTGGCTAAAGAATCATCTCACATGTCCTACTTGTCGTAAAGACTTACCAGATTCATGACAAATCCCTATAGCTTCGTTGCGTAAGCTGTACATAGATATTTTGTCTCTTCTTCAAGAGATATGTGGAACGGGTGTCAGGAATTTTTTATCACCATACGGACAAATCATGGGTGTTCTTTACAACCAAGAAAGATGCTATATATATCATGGCGCTTGAGTTAGAGATGATTTGCGATGTAACAGATACACAACCAATGATTTTCGAATAATTTATTAGAATTTTAATTATCAAAAAGATGATAGCCAAACAAGAAAATCTATTTAGATTGAAGACGAAAACTGTCAAGGAAAATAACAGTTTGATAATCTATTACCATGTAAGTAGGCCTGGGCAGCTGAAAAACGCAGCTTCCAATATTTGCTAGAATTTCTTTGATGCTATACCAAATGCCAAAAAAGCAACAATTGTGATAAAGAAAGCGATCCCACAAAGAAAACCTGAGAAAAAAAATAAAAACAAAATAATTAGACTTAAAATTGAATAATAATCAATCACACTATTCAGAGAATTAAACACTACAAATAATTTCTTTCCTTCCAATTCAAGATAATAAAAAACATGAAACAATGTTGGGTTTGGCCGTTTGGCTCACCTCTATGATTTGCTTCTCTTATTGCTCCTAAGTTGACGAATTCATCAACCACTGTCTTCATAAAGACAGCTACATTGGTCCTAAACTTATAGGAGCCGCTTTGTCTAGTTTGTTTAGGGGCTTTGACTCCACCTTTAACCATTGATCCAACAGGAGCTCCATTTTTATAAGCATTGCACGCTTTCACTATGTCGTGAGACCGGACGAAGAAATGGCTACGAACAAACTCTTCAAAATGCTGCACACATTTATCACAACAACAGTTCTAACTTCTAACCCCAAATTTTTCATGAAAAAACAATCCATCTTGGTCAAAAAGGTTTCATGTTTTTTCTGGAAACGAATGAAAAAGTGACTAAATATTACTTATTTACCTGCGGTGGTTTTCTCATGCTGTAAACCATAGTCTTTAACGACAATAGAAATACGTTCTCACTGTAAGCTTTAGAACTGGACTCGCCTGATGGAGTCCCTATGGATTTCTCGTAGCCAGGTTCGTTAAAAAATGGTTTTTCATTCAAGATTAGTGCTTGGATTGAGACAAGAAGCTGCAACATTGTGGACTCCTTGGGGAGCCATTTCTCCCTCGTTTTACCGGTCCAGGTACGGATAAGACTCAAGCATACTTTACCACAATTGTATAGATTCGGGTTGATTCTAAGCCCGCCCGAATGGTAATGAACTTTCTGTCAACAACAAAATGAATTTCCAGAGTCATTAAGGGTTCCAAGTAAAAAAAAAAAAAAACAGACGACATATTGTTTCTGAGGACATACTGGTGGCACTGAAGGATAGCTATCTGGGAACTGAATATCGAAAAAGAAGAGACCGTCATGGTAAGGAGTTCCCTCGGCTCCAATAATTACAGCTCTCAAAAGATCTATTCTTGATTCACAAGCTCTGACAAATATTGTCTCTGTTTGCCAAAAAAAAAAAAAAGGGATAGAAACTTAAGAACAAATGTGAATAATTGTAGCTGCAGTCTATACAGCTAACTGGCAAATTCTTGTCAAGAATCTTCCACTCTTCTTGAACCGTTTTCCCCCAATTCTTCGAGCGCTGAAAAGCGGATAAAATTACAAATGTTGAATATATTGTCGGCCCATTTTGTTCGTTTTTGGGGCCTGGTGATCTATTGTTAGTGAAGTACGTCCCACATCAAAAGTTGGAGAAGTTATCAAGTAATATATAAAGAGTTATGGCCAATTCACTAATTGCCAATTGATTTTGAGTTAGAAGCCAATGTTAAGCCCAAATATGTCATCTATGCATATTACCCCTTTAAAATTTAGGGGCCAAAGCGAATATTTAGCCGGACTCCCCTCAACAGCATAGTGATGATCCGAGAAATCTTCAACGGTGTCAAATCTTTTAAAGTCTCGCAGAAACTCTTCCTTAAGTTTCCTAGAATCCTGAACTAGAGAAATATAACCTCAGTAAGCTTCTGAATTCATATTAACAAACTTTAATATGATTCATCAATACGAAAGCAAAGCGAAACAGCAGAAGCAGTAACGTGAGCAAACAAAGAAACAAGATCAACCAAACCCACGTAAACCCTAAATAAAAACAAAATCCTAAAGTTGTTACATATTAATCTCCTCTAAAACCCCACTAAAATTACAGAACAAAAAGGAAAAAAAAAAAAACAAGAAAAATCGAACCTTTATCTCCACCATGTCAGGCTCCAATAACTATGTTACCGAATATAGATTCTTTCTGTTGTCAATAACAATTTTTTTTCTCTTCAAGGTCTCTTCACATTTCGCGCCCTAGTATATATGTTAGTATAGAATAGAGATTTAGCATATTTCTATATCTTAGATATGTATAATTTCCATATCTCTTGCTCATGAATTCTTCTAGGGTTCTCTTTTGAATATGATTCATATTTCATACAATTCACATTGGTATCATCGATTAAAAACATAATTTTGTTTTCCTCTTTTCCTCGTCGCCGCTGCAACTTCGTTTCTTTTCAGCATCAAACACCATTAACTCAGGTGGTGTTACCCCTTGTTTTAAAAATCGCTAGGTGCTAGTCGGGCGGTGAGGGTGGGCCTAGCGCCTAGCAAGAAAATCGGAGATTAAACGGGGATTAATCAGGGACTAGTTTTAAGGGTATTTAATATTTTAAAAACATATTAATCTATTATAAATAAGAAATTTATATAATTTTGTTTTTAAAAATGCATTAAACACATGAAAACAAGAATTTAAGGTCAAACTTATGATTTTTATACAAATTATGAACATAAGTGGGACGTTTAAAATTTTAGATTCAAAAAAAAAAAAAATGTAAAAAAAAAAAAAATGGGCTAGGCGCCGTCTAGCCGGACGCCTAGGCGGTCTAGGCGGACAAAAATCGGATCACCGATTTTTTTTACCGATTTGGACAAAATCGCCGTGGTCCCCACCAGATCAGCACCTAGGCGGCCGATTTTTAGAACATGGGTGTTACCTTACCTAGGAGTCTCAAAATGGGTCAAACCATTTGTTATATTTAAACTTAACATCAATTATAAACTACTTTACTCAACCGGGGAAAAAATTGTAATTTACTCCATGTTATATCAAAAGTAGTTTAAAAAAAATAAAGGCTAAAATTTTGTCTTCTACTCCATGTTATATCTCCTACTAACCAAGCTTCCTTTCTCGAGTCTTTAATGCTATACCAAATGCCATAAAACCAGCAATTGTGATCAAAATAATTAGACTTAAATGCCATAAAACCAGCAATTGTGATCAAAATACCTGAGAAAAAAAATAAAAAATAAAAATAATTAGACTTAAAATCGAATAATAATCAATCACTATTCCCGAATTAAATTACACTAGAAAAAATTGATTTCCTTGTAATTCAAGATAATAAGAAACAGGAAACAATGTTGGGTTTGGCTCACCTCGATGATCTGCTTCTCTTAAGGTTTGTTTTATTGCATTAATTCTCTGTGTGAGCATTGATCTCAGGTAGTTTTCTTTTTGCTCTAATTTGACGAATTCACCAACCAATGTCTTCATAAAGCTAGCTACATCGGTCCTAAACTTCTTGGAGCCGCTCTGGCTAGCTTGTTCAAGGCCTTGGACTCCGCCTTTAACCATCGATCCAATAGGAGCTCCATCTTTATAAGCATTGCACGCTTTCATTATGTCGTGAGACCGGACGAAGAAATGGCAACGAACAAACTCTTCAAAATGCTGCACAATCATCACAACAACTGTTCTAACTTCTAACCCCAATTAATTTCATGAAAGAAAAAGAAAAAAATACTTCTCCGGCAAAAAGGTTTCCTCTTTTTCTCAATATGGTGGTGATTAAAAAAAAGTCTTTAAAATGCTGCATTCTCATCACTATTTTGAACCAAATTTTGGAAACAAATATTTCAGGAAACGGATGAAAATTTGACAAATTATTTACCTTGGGTGGTTTTCTCATGCTGTAAACCATAGTCTTTAACGACAATACAAATACGTTCTCACTGTAAACTCTAGATTGAGACTCGCCTGATGAAGTCCCCTTGGTCCGCGCATATAAAGGTTCGTTAAAGTATGGCTTTTCATTTAAGATGAGTGCTTGGATTGAGACAAGAAGCTGCAACATTGTGGACTCCTTGGGGATCCAATTCTCCCTCATGGTACCGGTCCAGGTACCTAGAAGACTCAAGCATACTTTACCACATTTGTATAGATTCGGGTTGATTCTAAGCCCGCCGGAATGGTAATAAACTTTCTGTCAACAACAAAATGAACTTTTGAGGTTAAAAAACAGAACAAACTTTGAGAATGTTTCTGGAGGACATACTGGTGGCACTGAAGGATAAGTATCTGGGAACTGAATATCGAAAAAGAAAAGACCGTCATGGTAAGGAGTTCCCTCGGCTCCAATAATTACAGCTCTCAAAAGATCCATTCTTGATTCACAAGCTCTGACAAATATTGTCTCTGTTTGCAAGCAAGAAAAAAAAACAAAAATGTGGGAGAAACTTAAGAAAAAATGTGGAAAATTGTTGCTAACACTATACACCGACCTGGCAAATCCTTGTCAAGAATCTTCCACTCTTCTTGAACCTTTTTAACCCAATTCTTTGAGTGCTGGAGAGAATTGTTACAGTTACAGTTGTTGAACATGAAAAAAGCGATTACGGAAACAAGCCCGAAGAGGATAAATTTAATCATCACCTGCTTTAACCAGTTCCCCATAGAAGCATAGTGATGATCTGAGAAATTCTCAACGGTGTCAAATCTTTTAAAGCCCCGCAAAAACTCTTCTTTAAGTTTCCTAACATTGGAAGAATCCTGCACAGAGCGGGACCAACAAAATTGGGGGCCCCATACGACTTAAAAAAAAAACAGTATCAAAGTTTTTATAAAATTAAAAAAATCAAAGTAAAATTAACCAAGTAAAACTTTTAATTGTTTTAGAATTTATTTAAATAAAATTTTTCTCTTATTCGATTAAAGAAATCTCATGGCTTGTAGAAAAAATAACTTTTTTTTTTTTCATTGAATTGTATATAATAATTAGAATGTTTTTGGCATACACAATTTTTTAAGATCTAAATACAATAATTAATATACTAATATATAACAAAAAAAAATATGTGGGGCCCCTAAAAAATGGGGGCCCATTGCAATGCATCACAATAATGGGATCAAGTCCGGCTCTGCCTGCACTAGAGAATTAACCTCAGTTTTGATTTCACATAACCTACTGATGATGATTCTTTCTACTTAAGAAACTTTAATATGATTCATCAATCCGAGAGCAAAGAGAAACAGTAGAAGCATATATAGTAATTAAACGTACGTGAGCAAACAAATTAAAGAAACAAGATCAACCAAACCCACGTACAGGCCCGGCCCTATGGTAAAGCAGATGAAGCATTGGCTTTAGGCCACATTATATTTAAACAATTATAAGGCCACATTTAACTAAAATGGTCGTGCACTTAGGTAATAGTCACCAGCCAAGTTCGAAACATATTAGTTAGACAGCTCTTTTTTTTTTTGGACAAATTGATTTTTTTGGACAAAGTTAGACAGCTCATTTTCTGTCTTTACATCACTTTACTTTGTTTTATATTACATATGTGGCCCTTATTATTATTTCTTCTACAATAACTTTCTTTTTTCTAACTCCTAACATTCTAAATTTCTTGCTGTCAAAAAAAAAAAAAAAAAAATTCTAAATTTCTTAAATATATTCTTAAAAACCTATAATAATATTACAAAACTTGGAAGAATTCTCCACATCTGTTTATATCAAGATTTTATAATTGTTAGCTAATTAGATATAACTAAAATAAAAAAAAAATTGAACCATATGAGGTATTAAATAATTTCTCTCATATTTTTAAAAGTATATTTTGTTAAAATATAGGTTTGAACATATTCTCTGGAAAAAAAAATTTAGATCTTATTATTTTAAAAAAAATTCATTTTACTTTGTACACAATGTAACTAATATTAAAAATATATAAAAGTTAGATATAAATAAATTTGGTACCTTTAATATTAAGGCCACATTTTTAAAAATGCTTTAGGCCTCTATAAGTTTAGGACCGGCCCTGCCCACGTAAACCCTAAATCAAAACAAAACCCTACAATTGTTACATATTTTTCTCCTCTAAAAACCCATAAAAGTGAACTGAACCAACAGAAGAAAATAAAAATCGAACCTTTAAATCCACAGGCTCCATTGACTAAATTTTCCCCAAGATGGATTCTTTCTGTTGTGAAAAAAAGGAAAAACTGAAAGAAAAGAGAAATGTTTTTCCTCGGGGTCTCCTAGTGTATATGTTAGTATAGAAGAGATTTAGCATATCTTTTGCAAATAAATTATTTCAGGGTTCTCTTTTTTTTTTTTCCTAATAGTTATTCCTTTATATATTCTTTCAATATGATTCATACACTTCACATTGGTATCAAAACTCCATGCATCGATGAAAAACCTAATTGTGTTTTTCTCTTTTCCTCGCTGACGAGGATCAAACACCATCAACTCAAGTCACGATTGATAGTGTCACCACATCAAATCCACTTTTCTTGCTCCATGGACATTAGTTATAGAAACTTCAGTTGGGAATGTCCTTGGTAAAAACCGCCTCGACAGAATTGGATGAGGATTCACATGATTTAGACAGCTACTCGTGGACTGATGGATCTAGCCAGATATTATTGCATGAAAGATCGGTTAAACCATCCATTAAGGCCATGGAGATGCGCATCTTCCAAAGCTCACGGACGTGGAAACCGTGGACGTAGGAACCGAGGTTGACATTGCTAACTTTGTAAAAATCAGAACAGAAAAATGTGAAACCCCAATTATAAAAACCATTTGTCCATTTAAAACCGAATGTCAATTATAAAACTACTTTTCAAAACCGGAAAAAAAAATTGTAATTCTTCATATATCAAAAATAGTAAAAAGAAAAAGGCTAAAAATTTTCTCTTCTACTCCATGTTAGATCTCTAGTCCACCGACAAGTCTTCTTTCTCGAGTCTTCAACTTGATACTACTGAAAAACGCAGCGTCCAATATTTGCTAGAAATTCTTTGATGCTATACCAAATGCCAAAAAACAACAATTGTCACAAAAATGATAAAATCCTAAGTTAAAACTGTGAAAAAATAATCAATCACCATTCCTAATTAAACACTACAAATGATATTAAGAAAAAATACATACGAGACTGAGAAAGTCATAAAAATTTTATCAAGTAAAACTGTACATACGAGAATTACTTGTCTTTCCTCTCTAATTCAAGATATGAAAAGCATGAAACATTTGGTGGATTTGGCTCACCTCGATGATCTGCTTCTCTTACGGTTTGTTTTATTGTTCTGATTCTCTGTGTTAGCATTGCTCTCAGGTGGTGTTGGTTTTTCTGCAAGCTCCTTGACTCCTAGTTTGACGAATTCATCAACCACTGTCTGCATAAAGCTAGCTACATCGGTCTTAAACTTCTTGGAGCCGCTCTGGCTAGCTTGTTCAAGGTCTTGGACTCCGCCTTTAACCATCGATCCAAGCGGAGCTCCAGCTTTATAAGCATTGCACGCTTTCACAATGTCGTGAGACCGGACGAAGAAATGGTTTTGAACATACTCTTCAAAATGCTGCACATTCATCACAACAATGGTTTTAACCCCAAATTTCATGAAAAAAAACAACCCAATTCAGCTTTTTCTCAAAACAAATGCAGATATGGCGATTGACAGTCTTTAAAGAGCTGCATTCATCACTATTTAACCTTAAGTTTCAAAAAATAAAACCGAAAAAGTTGGAAACCAAGTTTCAGCCTATTCAGGAAACGTATGAGAACTTGACAAATTATTTACCTGGGGTGGTTTTCTCATGCTGTAAACCATAGTCTTTAACGACAATACGAATACGTTCTCACTGTAAACTTTAGAATGGGACTCGCCTGATGCAGTCCCCACGCTCTGTACGTAGCCAGGTTCGTTAAAGTATGGTTTTTCATTCAAGATGAGTGCTTGGATTGAGACAAGAAGCTGTAACATTGTCGACTCCTTTGGGAGCCATTTCTCCCTCGCGCTACCGGCCCAGGTACCGAGAAGACTCAAGCATACTTTACCACAATTGTATAGATTTGGGTTGATTCTAAGCCCACCGGAATGGTAATGAACTTTCTGTCAACAACAAATTGAACTTCCGGAGTCATAAAGGTTTCGAAGAAAAAAAACAGAACAGGTACGAAGTTGTTCCTGAGGACATACTGGTGGTACTGAAGGATAGGTATCTGGGAACTGAATATCGAAGAAGAAAAGACCGTCATGGTAAGGAGTTCCCTCAGCTCCAATAATTACAGCTCTCAAAAGATCCATTCTTGATTCACAGGCTCTGACAGATATTGCCTCTGTTTGCAAAAACAGTTAAATTTACAAGAACAAATAGGTAAATGAATGATGCAAGCATTGATCTGCATAGTGTATACACTAACCTGGCAAATCATTCTCAAGAATCTTCCAATCTGCTTGCACCTTTTTCACCCAATTCTTGGAGTGCTGATAAGATAAAAGAGAAGCGAAGGGTAACATTACAGTTGTTGATATGAAAGAAAGATTAAGGGAACAACTACAGAGATAATAAATGTATCATCACCTGCTTTGAAGATTTACCCTTAGAAGCATAGTGATGATCTGAGAAATCCTCAACGGTGTCAAATCTTTTAAAATCCCTCAGAAACTCTTCCTTAATTTTCCTGACATTGGAAGAATCCTGAACTGAAGAAATAGGCCCAGCCGCTATAGGGCGAGAAGAACTAGCAGAAGCATCAAAGCTAAAAGAGTTTGGAGTAGGATTCGGGACCATCAATACATCAGGAGTCTGAGGTTGAACCACAGAAAACGACACAGAAGAATAGATAGCCTGATTCTGTTGAGGCAAAGAATAATCCCATAATTGAGGAACATGAGTAGTTGCTTGAGGAACATGAGTAGTTGCCAGAGATGAGGTTCCATACTCTTTCATCGATTGACTTCTCAAACTGCTTCTACTTGATTTCGCTGTTCCCTTACTGCTCGAATTTAAACCCCAAGGTAGCGTCGTCACCTCTGCACCGGCTGGGACATTCTTAGGATCTAGAACGTCTTGAAACATTGTGTAGTCATCAACATCAATTGGTTGATTAGAAAATTGACTAAAAGGGTTATTCTTATGACCATAACAGTCTTGGAACGTCTCTAAGTTAATCGGTGAAGATCCAGGATGATGAGATTGAACGTTGTTGTAAGAAAAGGAGTCAACTTGTATTGCCTTCCCTTTGTTCTTCTTATCAACAACATTGTTACCACCATTAAGACCACCAACATTCCGGAATTCATAATTTTCCACATCAATCACTTCAGGAACAGCCTACAAAGCAACAAACTTTACCATAAACAAACACAAAATTTACATGTAACCAGATAAAGCAACAAAATTTACTATCAACTACGATTGATAACAAATTAATAACAGAGAAAACAAGTGAAATTTCACAAACATTCACAAGAGACGAACCAAACACAAAATCTAAATGTAAGCTTTTGAATTTCACATAACCTAAAGCTGATCACTTTCAAACTTAAGAAACTGTAAGAACTAAGAACACAATCAATACGATTCATCAAGAACAAAACCCATCAATCAAACGGCAAACAGAAACAGTTGAAGCATAGTACACGAGAGCAAACAAAGAAACAAGATTAACCAAAACCCACATAAACCCTAATAAACACCCAGATGATCATCACGCATCAACGACATCCTAAGCGAACAAAATTCCACCTTTTATCCAGGTGAATCAGTAAAATTCTGCACAGAAATATAAAAATCAAACCTTTCTGGGTTTACGAGTTCTAGAGCCCGAAGCGATCAGAGGAGGAGGAGGGATCTCCACCACGTCAGGCTCCATTGACGAAATTCCCAAAGTTTGATTCTTTCTTTTGTGAAAAACAAATAAAAACCAAAACAGTGAGAGATTAAAGAAAAAGAGAAAGATTTTGGCCTCGGGATTATAGCAAGATTTTGTCTCTTCACAATTCGCGCCGGAGTTATATATAACACTCCCAAACAGTGAAGATTTTACTCTATCATCGACTCTTTTTAAACAAGCTACTCCAAAATTCTCATTCTCAATATTTAATTTTTAATCATATTTTGGGTCAATCAAAAGGTCTCCGCCGATTATCCTTAATTTGCTGACGTGGCACAATCGACGGTCCTGATGGGTGATTAGGAAGGTGAAGCTAGGAATTTATAGCCGTTGGATATGGGGATAGGTTTTTATAATACAATCCAACGGCTAATAACAGAGGAATTATCATAGGAAATCAAAATGGAAGATTAGAAGATTAAAATATATCAAAAATCAGAAATAAATATACATTGAAGTTTTGAGTCTTTTGACCAATATTTAACCTTTTTGTTACTCTATTTATTATTACATGACCTGTTGTGTAAAGCTCCCCAAAAAGAATAAGATCAACAATCTATTATGTTTAGTTTTTGATCTATGAAATTTTGTATTTAAATAAATACTCTCAAACTTTGAAACCCTCGGATCGAAGACACGAAAGATGAGCTTCGATCCATTTCGCGCAAGCGGATTCACCGTGTTCTACAATGCATTCATCTCTTAGCTTCTTTGTATCAGGACAAGCACAACATATCCTCTTCTTTGGTTTCGTCTCTGTGGCAACCACATTTTTGCTTGGCTGGTCCAAGGAACACGCACTGTCTTGACCTTGTGAACCACTCATCCTATCATCATATTCTCATAATGTTACGCGGAGAAAACTCAAAACCAGATTCAACAATAACCAAAGAGCAATGAAACATCTGAAACACCCATTTGATGCTTAAAAGGCTATATCATTACATTGATCATTCCTCTTCTATGATAAATCGACATACAACAAAAACCAAGACCAATGATCAACTAGAAACAAGAACATCGGTATACACGAATATACACATGAATGATGAAACACTAATAATATGATTGCTCTTCCAAGATTAATCTAGCTATACGGGTGTTTCGGTGTTTCAGTAGTAAAGAGAAAGAGTGATAATCCTTGAAAATAGCTTCTTTCTAATACTGGTTACACCAAGAAGCAGACAAATCAATCAATTTGAATGATTTTTAGTATATTTAGGCCACAATGCAAAAGAGAGATAATCCTTGAAGACAAACTTCTTAACAACAAGGAAAGATCCAGAATTAGCTCATTTGCTTCTACTAAAAAAACAAGCTTTACGAGTTCTTACTCATTGCAATAAATCTACTGAAAAAAAAAACATAACTTTGGACCCTTTAATTACCAACACAACGAACAGCTTCTAAATCTTTCTCACCAGCCACCTCAACATCGATAATCAAATCAGGTAAAACCCTAAATAAACTTAAAACCCTGAACCCCAAATCACAAAATCTCATTCCCTAGTGAAATTCACACCATTGCATCAATACCAAATTAGAAGCTGATTTTGTAACAATCCAATCCGATTGAACCACAAATCAGACAAACAGATAATCAAAGAAAGAATCAACACAAAATTCAGGAAAAAAAAAAAAACTGATAAATTCATTCGTACAGTCATATGATCCTCCGATTAGAGAAAGAATTAAAAAAGCAAGAAACGAAAGAACTGACCTTTTTGATCGGCTTGAAAGAGAAAGAATCAAGAAACGGAGAACTTAGCAAGAATCTGGAGAGAAACCCAAAAAAAAAACGCTAAGAAGGAAGAAATGAGAGATGTAAAAGCTAACAACGTAAGAACACATTAAATTTCGACAGCTTTTAGTTATTGGGCCGTTGATGGGCTTTACAGGCCCATTTATGTTTGTTTTAACAAATTGATTAACCAGATGATAAGAATCTCTGATTCTTCTTTTACAAATTACAATGAGTTGATTGAATTTACCAAATATAGGATCTACATAGGAAAAATGAAAGAACAAAGACATCCAAAAAGTTGTCATTAATTTCAGACTTATATGATTTGTTTGATCTGTTCATGTCTGAATCTAAAGCTTTTCACTTTTCCTCTTTTATCAAACTTGAAAATCAAAGACCATAATATATCAAATGGTTTTTGCTTAGCCCACAAGTTTTTTAAGAAAAGATCAAAAACATCAATCATACTTCTCTCTCCAAGAATAAACAAGAAAGAAAACCCAAGAAATAGCCAAAGCAATGTCTCCAAGAGCTTGTTTAGGCCATTCATAAGCAAGATCTTCAATTTTCCACTCGAACAAAACCCTCCACATAGCCATTAACACATAAAGAATCACAGAACCACTAGCGAAGAAGCTATGAAACTCTCTGTCTTTCACAAAGGACACCATGAACAGTACCAAACCAATTGCAAAGAGAAGCAAACCAGAGAATGATTGAGAAATCTGTATGAGTAGTTCATCGTGTGGCGTTGATCCTTTTAGTTTGCTAGCAATCTCACTTCCTGGTCCAAAGATTGAAGCTTTCTCTGTGTAGAACATCATTAGGGTTCCACTAGTAAGCGCAATTATCGAATGGAGTATACAGATTACTCGAAACAAAGATGGATTCATCGAAACTGCTGTAGTCATGAATGAAAATAAAGGAAGAGACTTTGTTATGTTTCACAATCCCATTTGCATAAAGATTGAAAAAAGCAGATTTTGTAACCAAACTTTAAGAGAAGATTTTTAGGAGATCGAAAAAGGGAAGTTTTGGATCACGGGTTTATTGTGGAAATAGAAAGATTGGAGATATTGCTAGTTTGGGAAAGCAATGAAGAAGCCATGGAGGAAAGGTATGGACTTGGCTTTTGGGAAGAGAGATGATCTGTTTTAGGGATTTGGACTTTGATAGATTCCATGGTTTTCGATTTCTTTAATACTAGTATATGAAAATTTGTAAGGTTTTTGGTTAAATGTGGGTCACTTCTTTGGACAAATTTCATTATTTGTCTTCTAGAAAAGCTAGACAATTTCAATCCCCACGTCCCAACTAATTATATTAATTATGACTAATAAGAAATTAATTTTTACATATAGGGTTGCAAATTTTTTTTAAATGAAATTTGAGGTGGAGAAATAATTGAAAGATTCTAGGCAAAAATACAAAAGAAGAATAATTGAAAGATATAAATCTTTGTAGGGACGAAGGACCCATCGTCATGGACAAGGTTTGTGGAGCTATTTTGTATTCGATATGACAAAATTCACTGTATATTTTGGATTTTTTGTAAATATCTTCAACTTTTATTCAGAGATATTTCTGTGAGTAAAGAAAATAAAAACCAGCATTTTCCTGCGTCGACATACATTGACTGCACCAATGGGAAAATTACAAAATATCTATAGTAGATTATAGATATAAAATCCACTTTATATCAAAAAAAAAGTTATAGTTGAATAAGTTAATGCCAAGTGGAAAAGACTCACCAATTTACCACAATGGCCCCACTTCAAAGTAAATAATGTATATTAATATCCATAGCCGACAAACCAAGTATTCACCGGTCCAGATTTCGGTTTAAGTCCTACCGGTTATAACACACAACTAAATCCATTAAAAGGAGCACAAAATTCTCTAAGAAACAATGATAAGGGTTAGAACAATTTATATAAATTTGGCCAAAGATTTATCAGTTAGTTTAGTTAAGAGGACAAAATTTCAAAACCACAATTTGGATCTTTTGACAGAAACTCACGAGATTTGTTTCTTCTAACTACTTTGAACTGTAATATAATAAGAGCAAAAAAAATTGCATCAAAGAATAAATCTTGAAGAAGAAGAAGATGTGTAGAAGCTCTCTCTCTCTATCTCATGTTTCTTCCACCGGCTGAAACTTTCCGGTGACGCCTTTTTCCGCGTTGTCCCGGAGTCTTCTTCCCCGTTGTGGCTCTACCACCAACTAATCTTCCACGTGGCAAAGCCGGTGGCTCGGGAAGAACTCTAGAAGAAGCTCGAGGAGGTTTCATGTTCATCAAAACGTCTCTATGATATACCTGTCATCATCAAGAATAAACAAGTCTCAGGGTTTCACAAACCCAACCGAAACAAAACTGGAAATTCCTCTGCTTTTACCTGTTTCACAAAGTTGCGTCTTTCGCAGTCCAAGAACATATTGATGTTCCAATCAACTTTCTCTCTTATCTTGTCTCTTGCAATTGCAAAGCTTAGCTGATCTCTGGAAGTAAACCGATCTACCTCGTTGAACCAAACACACGTGAAAAGGTTTGTGATCGGTATGTGTTCTCTTATGATGGTACAACCTTCAGGAACATCTGACAAACGATTCAAAAAGTTTCAGTTGTGCTCATAAGAGAGACGAAAATTGCGGAATTTTATCATCGTTAAAACCATTACCACTAGTTATTGGAAGTTTAGCCTCGGTATAAGGTGTTAAACCTTCCTTCTTGTAGAACTCTACCTGGTAATCAATTGAGGCATTGTCGTACTTTCTTGCAGCCTTATTCGCCTCAGCCTCTACAAACACATCAAAACGTCGGTAATGTCTCGAGATTGCGAAACTAGAATTCGTTCTCCACAAGAACCTGAACATTGAGAAGACAAATAAAACTAACTGCTTGGAACAATTACTGTTGAAAGAGAGAGACAGCAAAGTCAATTTATCTACCTCTCAAGGATTTGATATGGATCTACAACAATCTGGAGCTTTGCATCAACCCATATAGAGTACCGGACATTTGGAAATAATCTATGCAGTAGAAGCTTCGGAACCTGTAAAAATGCATAAACGGTTTACCCAATTCGTATTTGTTACATAAGGAAACATCGAAATCTTGGATATTTATTCATAAATCTTTTAACCTTTCCATTACGCCGTGCATCGGTATAAGGGACATTATGTACAACAATGATCCTCCACAATCCTACTCTCTTGTTATCGTCTGTATAACTCGACGTGTTCTTAAGGTATAAATGTGTTTCTTCATCAACAAACATGTAGAATGGGATGTTCTTCCTCGCCATTTCACTGATGTTCACTGGTTCTTGAATTATGTCATACTTTCCTGAGAAAAGATTGAAACTTTATGAGAGAAGTAAGTATATATAAACAATAGATGTCACACAGAAAAATTCTCTCCTAAGAATTTGAATTCTCTCCTAAGCAATACCAAATATTGCTGACGCGACAATCACATCATGGGACTGGTCCAACTCATGAAGGATATCCTCATCAATGTCAAATCCAGTTTGGTAACCCGGTTTTGTTCCTTTAATAAATCTGCGAAAACAAAAACAGGAATCAGAAAATTAAAAGTCGATTTCTCAAGAAGAAACCACGGAGTTAAGCATAGAAGCATACCCGCAATGCACTGTCATGGACTCTTTTATGTCAAAGGAGTTAGTCCTATGCTCAAGAGAAGGATAACCTCCGAAGTCAGAGCCTCCTTGGCTTTCTTCAGGTTTTACAGGACTCTCTTCATGGATATATGTCAGATTCTTGAGCATGGGAGATTCAAATGGATACTTTGGCATATGCGCTAATGCCTCTTCTGGAGGTAGATAGCATACCGGACACGCTGAAAAAAAAAAATTTACAAACGGGGAAGGTAAATCCGAGTTCTTGCAGGATCAGAGCAAAAACAATTGAATCGAAGAAAGAGCTTACGGCGTGGACCAGGCCTTCTCATTCCAGGTGGTGGAGGAGGAGGAAATGAAAAACTATCACACGGATGGTGATGCGATGGAGAAGGATGGTTGACGTCTACATCACTTCCTCCAATGCCATTCCACATAAAAGAATCTCTAATATGATTATTATCAGAGTTCTGTGTATAGAAAGAAGTCAATTCTCTACTTATCGGTGTTTGGTTGCTCCCAAAATCCATCGTCTCAATACTCTGATGAATGTTTGGACTATTGCCCTCTGTTGTATTCACAAATGCAGGCATCATTACCAACATATTCCACCAATTGAAGAATTAAAACATTGAAAACTTGAGAATACCTTTGTTGATAGTGTAAGAACCCAAGACAAAGACAACAAATGCAAGGCTAAGAAGGAGAAGCATAGCAACTCGTCGACGACCTAAGTACCAGCAACATAAGAAGGAGAGGGACCTTTCCTTCTCTTTAGAATTAGAAGTGAGCATTGTGAAGAAACAAGAAGAAGATAATGCAGACTCAAAAGCTCAAGGTTTGAGAAAGTGCAATGACAATGAGCCATCATAACTCTCAAGTCCAAAGGACATTCCAGTCATTGTCTCTTAAACCCTCTAGATCGAACTCTCATATCGACACTTTCTCAGATCCAAACCTAAGAAACAACCAGATTTCAAAATTCCACATACATTGCAGAAGAAGAAACAGAATCGATTGACAAAAGTAATTACCAGAACAAGATTCGATTTTTGATTCGAAGACCTGCATTGGCATCAAAAAGGATCAAACTTTAAATCAAATCTCGATTCAATCATTGGCGATTCGTGAATTGAACAGTACCCACAAATCCAAATCTAGCCCTGATACGAAAAAGGGGAAATTTTTGCATAAGATTCGGAGAAAAAGGTATTACCTTTTGAATGAATAAACACTTGTGTTCCAAATTCGTCTCTTGATTTACGAAAAATCAATAAATAGTTTTGGATTTGTCAAATTTTACACTGATCCGTTCTTCGATCTGCGGTAAAACATTTTAGTGCATGTTTTTGGATTTGTCAACGATTCAAAGTATTTCGATCTCTACGTTACTTTTGAGGGTTTGATAAATTAAAATTTTATATTTTTTATTACAGTGGAGATGTGTTGTCTTGTCTTTACTCATCGCTGAATTTGATCGTCCATAATTAAGAATCTGTACACTAGGTTCTAGCCGTTTAGGATATAAACATTTATCATTTTTTAATTATGATTAGCTCATGTTAAAAGAGGTGTTAAAAAAAAAAATTAGCTCATGTTAAAAATAATTATAAAATAATTCTGATTTTTTTAGGTTTTCTCATAAATGATCCAACATTTTTAATGGCATTCGTCAAAGTTTCTGAGGGATAACTAGGATTTTAGGGATTTGTTTTTTTTTGAATTTGGGGATTTCGATTTGGGGAAAATCTCAATTTCAATTCGATTAAAGCTTAAACGACGTCGTTTTGGGATGACTAACGGAATAGTTAACGAATGCTAACGGGTGTTAGAAAATCTGTTAACGTCTGATAACGGTTGGTTTTTTTGGCCTCATCAACACATTCTCACGTTTCAAACGATTGGTCAACGTATTGTCCATGTTTATTTTGACCACATATGAAGTTGATGTATAGAACGACCACAATTTGAAAGTTGACTATTAAATGATATTTTTTTTCATTATATTTGTTTAATTTGTTATGTGACTTTTGTCTATTCCGCACCAATGTACCCTTACATATAGCCATAACCATTCGGTTTATTCGGTTCAGTTGGGTTCAATCATCGATTTTTCAGTTCGGTTACATGCTTTTAAATCTATTCTGAAATGGAATCGAAATTTTATTTTCTCAGTTGAAAAATACAATAAGCTAAACAAATAATTTTAGTAAAAAATGTTAAAGATTAAATAGTTTTAGTACAATGGTATCATTCGTGATTCGTATGGTTGGTGTATGAATTGATAATATGTGTGGTACACATACATATTATAGCCGTTCTCTGGAATAATACATGTGATCGTTTTGAAGATTATATATATATATATATATGTATATAAGTTCTCTAAGAGAATGGGTCCAAATTTGTTTTATTGTCTAAAATGGAGATGACAAGTCCATTAAATTCGGTCGTAACTTGTAAGCATAATGTGGATAATCACTCTTCTCCAATTATTTGGTAAACGAACTGATGCTGACTATCAATTGGTTTCTTATATCTTTGAAACTCATTTCACTAATATCAAACTAATCATTTTTCATATAACTATAGTATTATTTTAAATAAAATATTCATATATCTTAGTAGTATTTGTTATCATTCAAAAAAGATTTAGTTCTAATTCTTAATGCCAGTAATGTGAACATTTAATTAATACTCATGATTGTATGTAATAAAATTGTTTTTAAAATATAGGATACGGTGTAAACTATAATTAGTTGACCATTCATGCAATTATTGTTTTTTATTTTAATAATAGCAAAGTTAGAAAGCTTTTCAATAAAACGATAAACTGAACTAGAAAACGTTATCTTAAAGTCAGGTAGATAGCAAAATAGAAATGACTTGGTGACTAAAATTGTACAATTACTTCATTTAAACTATAACGTCCCTATTTAAAAATCTATCTTAATTTCATTAGTGCAGGGATTATGGGAATTAAAAATAAATTACATAAGGAAGATCAGAAGCGAAAACGAAAAGGCTTTTGACGTTTACCCCAAAAGAAAATTTCAATACTCTCGTTGCATGAACATGAAGCTTACGCGCTTTAAATATTAAACTATACTCTATAGATTCACTATTTTTGTTTACTTCAAAAGAACAAGATTTTAGTTTTGTATAGAAATAAGAAAAAAAGACAAATAATACTAGTTTTTACTTTTTACTGTAATATGTATTAACTTGTCTGTTATATTATAATAAAAAATTCATTAAATTGTATTCTTTTCCGCAAAGTAAAACCATAAAAAAAAATTTGTTTAATGATATTCTCGACGCTCTTTACACCGATTTACAAAATTCTATAATTAGTTCAAATGAGTTGGGAAAAAATTGAATAAGGATTTGGTTAGTCTTTTTTATTATGAATATTGAAGATTAAAAAGTGTTTTATTTCTTGTCTTTTGCATTGTCCAGCTTCGATCTTTTTTCCACAAAAAAAAAAAGTATATTAAATGGTAAGGTTTTTTTTTTGGTTCAACTATTAAATAAGTTATTAACCGCAAAATATAACTATACTCATAAATACATACGTGAACAAAATTTCACACTACCGAACGTATTTATTATTTTATTAAAAATTCCTCATAATGTTACTTTTTGGAGTTTCCAATATTTTTACAAAACTTTTTAATTCATTCAACATTGTATGCTTCAACAACACATGCGTCTCTCAGAAATCTCTCCGCCCTAGATCCATCTCTCTCTCTCTCAAGCAAACACTGTTAAACCCTTTTGATTTCTCCTCATAATTATTCACAAAATCTCCATTTTTTCCCCTTTGTTTATTGATTGTTCCTGCAAATTTCTCAATTTTACATTTTGCTTCTGGTGTTTTTAGTCGTCTCTCTCTTGAAAGGTACTTGCTTTATGCACAAAAGTTGAGAATCCTGGGTTTTTTTGTACTACACTCTAGTTATTAATGCCTGAACCATCTTCTTGATCTGGGTACATTTTGCAGATTGAGTAAAAATCATTTCTTTTTTTCTGGGTTACACTGTTCTTCAAGTTCTAGGGTTCCTTAATTTCGTTTCCCCTTTTTGGAAAGTCTCTGACTTTATATGTTTATATGGTCTAGTTCTGTCATGTGGTCCATTTAATTTGCTAGTGGAACAAGATGGATGAATTGTGTAAAGGAGATTTTTGGTTTTAAGTATTAAAATTTTGGGGGTAAATTGAGAGAGATGGGTTGTGTTTGTGGTAAGCCTTCTGCTATTGAAGATAGCAAAGATAGTCCAAGAGAGCGTTTCTCAAGCAAATCCTCTTCTGAGTTTAGAGTTTCAAGACCGGTTGCTTCTTCTAGAAGGGAGGAGACTCTTAGGATTAAGGAACGGTCTGATGTTGTTAGTGTAAGACCAGTGTTGAGTAATAAGCAAGCCAATGTTTCGATGAATTTGCGTGGGGAGAATTTGAGTAGAAGAGAGAAGAAGATTGAGAATGTTGCTGCAACTTCACCACTTGCAATGAGTATTACCATAGCTAAAGCAACTGAAGGAGAGTATGTAGCTGCAGGTTGGCCTCCATGGCTGGCTTCTGTAGCTGGAGAAGCCATCAGGGGATGGGTTCCTCGGCGTGCGGATTCTTTCGAGAAGTTGGACAAAGTAATCTTCTTTTCTTTATTTATATACATTCATTTTGAAAATGCTGTTAAATAGCCTCTTTTGATTGCATGACTTATAGTGGCATGTTTCCATATTTAGAAACATATCCTCAGCTCCAAAGATTTGGGTTGCAGTAAATGATACTTTTATGTTATGGAAAGTGGATTTTTTTTCAAAAGATTGGTTTTTAAAACCATCACATGACCTGAAAAGGTTTTGGAATTATAGCTGTGAGGAAAGATCCCTGATGCAGCGTTTTTACTTGTTTTATGCAGATTGGTCAGGGTACTTATAGTAATGTATATAGGGCTCGTGACCTGGATCAGAAGAAAATAGTGGCTTTAAAGAAGGTGAGGTTCGATAATTTGGAGCCAGAAAGTGTGCGTTTTATGGCTAGAGAAATCCAGATATTACGGCGGCTTGACCATCCTAATATCATAAAGCTAGAAGGCTTAGTTACATCAAGAATGTCTTGCAGCTTATATCTTGTTTTCGAGTACATGGAACATGATTTAGCTGGACTAGCCTCGCATCCCGCGATAAAATTTTCTGAATCACAGGTAACATTTTTTGTTTCTATCCAACATCTTCATGACATAGTCACCGCTTTTAGTCCAATTTTCTGAGGCTGGGTTTTCTTTTTGCTTTGTTTTTATACAGGTTAAATGCTACCTGCAGCAACTATTACATGGACTAGACCATTGTCACAGTCGTGGTGTACTTCATCGGGATATAAAAGGCTCAAACCTTCTAATAGATAATAGTGGAGTTTTAAAGATTGCTGACTTTGGATTAGCTAGTTTCTTTGATCCTCGTCAAACTCAGCCTTTGACCAGTCGTGTGGTAACTCTTTGGTACCGTCCACCTGAGCTTTTGCTCGGAGCAACTCGCTATGGAGCAGCAGTTGATTTGTGGAGTGCAGGTTGCATTCTTGCTGAACTATATGCAGGCAAACCTATTATGCCTGGTAGAACCGAGGTAGATTTGCAGTTTTTGTTTGAATCTCTTTTAGTGTTTGCTCTGATTTATGTTAGACTAGTTTGGTTTCTTAAGGTGACTCTGGTAATGCTCATGGTGTCACAGGTGGAACAGTTGCACAAGATTTTCAAGCTATGTGGCTCGCCTACCGAGGACTATTGGGTAAAATCAAGGTTGCCTCATGCAACAATTTTCAAGCCTACACAGCCATATAAACGCTTAGTGGGTGAAACATTCAAGGAGTTTCCTCAGCCAGCTTTAGCCCTTCTTGAAACTCTCCTTTCAGTCAATCCTGACGATCGTGGAACTGCCACTGCAGCTCTCAAGAGTGAGGTACTGGCATTACTCAGGCAGTAAATGCTGTGTGTTCTTATGCTTCTGTATATAACTCCTGGTAATCGCTTTTGTAACATCAAATTATCATTCTTTTATTTTCAGTTCTTTTCCACCAGACCTCTTCCATGTGAGCCTTCAAGCTTGCCTAAATATCCTCCCAGCAAAGAGCTCGATGCAAGGATGCGGGATGAGGAAAGTAGAAGGTGTGCCATCCAGATTTTTGTAGTCTGATGTGATTTTTATTCTGCAGTGCTTTTACGATAGCTTGAATCATTAACGAAAAAATAAAAATGAAATATATGCTTTTTTCTTGCTTCTATGTTTGTAGACAAGTTGGAGGTAACAGGGACCAAAGACACCAGGAAAGAAGAGGAACTAAAGAATCTAGAGCCATCCCAGCCCCAGACGCAAATGCAGAGCTGGTTGCATCAATGCAGGTAAAAAATCTTATTATTTCTTTCGATGTTAAAGCTTTTTACTTTTATTCAATGTTTTTGACCCCCTCTCGCATTAACGTCGTTGCAGAAAAGGCAGAGCCAGTCTAGTAATAGAAGCCGAAGCGAGAAGTTTAATCCACATCCTGAAGAAGTTGCATCTGGTTTCCCAATCGATCCACCAAGGCCATCATCACAAGCATTTGAACCAAACAGAGAATCTCAGGGAAATATTATTCCTCACAAGAGAGCTTCACATTCCGGTCCTCTATCACGTAGATCTGCATCTGCAAAGGGTAGAAGGAATTACCAAGATTCTCAGAAGGTTTCATCCATAGCTGATTACTCAGCATTGCCTGGTTTTGCTGCAACAAGAACAGGCGCACCACAACAAGAGACTTGCAGAGGAATGACTCGGCTTCCAGGTTCCTTCAAGGAAACCTCTGAAGAAGCAAACCAGGAAGAAAATGGTAGAAGCAACAAGAAAGACCCTATTCTCGTAAGTTCTCTAAACGTCCTTCCATGCGAATTTTAGAAACTACCAATGTTACTATTTTGAGTTGCTTGGTTTGATTTGCAGTTGGGTTATGGATCAAAAGGGCATAAGATTCATTATTCAGGACCGTTGGTGGTTCCGTCAGGAAACATGGATCAGGTGTTAAAAGACCATGACCGACATATCCAAGAAGCTGTGAGAAGAGCACGGATCGATAAGGCTCGAGTTAGGAAACTCCAAGCTGACGAAGCATCGAGCCAACATGTCCCAACCAGTCATCCCCCATCGGTTTCTAGCCGTTGATCCATCAATGAGGCAAAAGTAAATGATCAAACCAAACCTCATTTGCCTGAAACTTCTTAACACGGCGTATTTTGAGTGGAAATAATTGTATTTTATTGATTCAAAGATTATATATCATCATAGAATCAAATCTTGTCACGTTTTAGCTTCCCTGTAATGTGATATTATTTTATTATAAGAGAGATGTAGAAACAGGTTATATACCAAGAAAGGTGTTATCTCTACGAAATCTTTATTGGTGCATGTGAAGAAGAATCGACCTACATTATCATTAAAGAGAATACCTTTCTTGTGAAAAAATTAAATGATCTTGTCGAGTCAATCTTTTCGAAGAGTCAAATTATGTTGGCTCTCTTTCACTATATAAATCTTGTTATCCTCTTTCACTTTTCCATATCCAAGAAGAGAACAAAAAACAGAATGCAGATCAAAACACTCTGTTTCATTCCTCTGTTTTTTGCTCTGTTTTGCTTTCACGCCATATCTTCGTCTGCTTACAGTTTCAACTTCGATTACTTCGGTAATGGAACTGATCTAATGACATTCCATGGCGACGCCGAGTATGCTCCAGAGCCCGATGGTATGAGCAAGTCAGGAGCTCTTGGATTGAGCCGTGATAATGTCCCTTTCTCTCATGGTCGAGCCATTTTCATCAATCCAATCCCTTTCAAACCTAATGCTTCTTCTTCCTCTGTCTATTCTTTCAAAACTTCTTTCACTTTCGTCATTAGTCCTCGCCGGAAAAACCCTAATCCCGGTCATGGCCTCGCCTTTATTGTCGTCCCCAACGATAAAAACGACTCCGCTTCCGGTTTAGGCTACCTCAGTCTTGTGAACCGGTTTAACAACGGTAATCCCAAGAACCATCTCTTTGCTGTCGAATTCGATGTCTTTAAAGACAAGTCTCTTGGTGACATTAACGATAACCATGTTGGAATCAACATTAATTCGGTTAATTCAACGGTTTCTAAGAAAGCCGGTTATTGGATTCAATCAAGAACCGGAGGAAAAAGCCGGTGGTTGTTCAAGGAATTGAAGCTAAGTGAAAATGGATACAGGGCTTGGATAGAGTACGAGAACGGGAAAGTGACAGTCACGATAGGACGTTCGCAGGAAAAACCGAAGAGGCCATTGATCGAAGCGAGAGTCGATCTTTCTAAGGTTTTTTTCGAGAAAATGTATGCCGGTTTTGCCGGTTCAATGGGACGTGGCGTCGAGCGTCACGAGATCTTGGACTGGAGTTTTGAGAACAGTGCCAAAAACTAATAAACCAGTTTGGTTCGGCTTGGTTTAGGCCGAAGTTGTTACTGGTTGGTTTTACAGCATCGTTTTCTGTCGTGAATCTCGTGATCCTGCTAGTGATATAGTTGAAGCTAATAAATGCTTAAGTTATGGCCTAACGTGCCATGTATCTTACTTTCAGATTTCTAGAAAGATTTACAATAAAGGATCTCTTTCCCTAGTTATTTATTAGACCATACACAATGGTATAATCTTTGGTTGGGTGTGAGTAATATAAAAAGGAGAAAAAATAGAAAAGTTGTGTAGAAGTTGTATGTTGGGTGTAAGTTTACACTTGGGTGTGAGTATTAAAATAAAGAGAAATATTGCACTCTCTCTATCTCTCTCTATCTCTCTTTTCTCTCTCTCTTTAATTATAATAATAAAAAATTATTCACACCCACACTCACACATGTGCCATTGTGTATGCTCTTAGAGATATGGCAGCAATCTTCTATTACACGGTAAATGTTTTGTACAACCTAAGCAACCATCCTAACTACTTACAAACAAGGAGAACAACTCACTGAGAACTACATAATTTATCATATAACAGTAACACACATTTTAATAGTATGTATATCAACACAAAGGAACAATAATGAGTAATTATCACTAACGCTACCTTATATTACAAAAAATGAAAATTTTAAGTTTTCTAAGCATTTTTAATTAGTAATTAATGATGAATATTTTTTTTACAGACATTTTATTTTGGTTGGAATTTTCTAGAATTAAATGTTGATGTTTGTTGTTAAAAAAATTTAAAAAATAATAATAAAAAACTAGAATGTTTTTAAAGTAACTAATGTTTTTCTAGTATCAAACTTTGTTAATTTTTAAGTCATACAATATTGAATGATTTATTTTTTAATTTTATGTACATTAAGAAAAATCTAAGAATTTATATATATAAAAAATCAAAATTGTTAATTTGGTAATAATAAGGGAAGTTAAAAATATCAAAATTTGATAACTCTATATATTAGAAGAAATTTAAATATTTTTGATAAGTGATTTAAAGTGAATGAGGATAAGAAAAATTGTGTTTGGTAAATTTGATAGTAGAATTAAATAATTAAAAATTAAAAAGGCAGAGAAGAAAAATGTGGAATTGCCACATAAACACTAAAAAATTTATTTAAATATATAGAGGATACATAAGCACATTATTAATTATTAAAAAATTGGTTTTGGTATAACTTCATGAAATATGATAGATCTGATTATGAATATGAATAATTGATAGGGAAAGGGATAGGGACAGAGTAACTTATATATTTCATTCACTTTATTCAATTATAGTAGTTAGGAAAATTAAAATAATTTCCCCCTATACACTCATAAAGTTTTTGTTTTCAGCATTGTGGCCACTGGCCACAGAAAAAAGTAGAATCATTTTGTGCATTTTCGAGAACAGATTTTGTCATCTAATGCAATAATTCAAAATATTTGTCTCTTTTTTTTCAATGTTTCAATTATTTTAAGTTTTCTCGATCTTTTAAACCCTCACATTACTTCCATCTTTTTTAAGTTCTTCACTTTCACTTCCCAAACTCCCAAAAAATGAAGATCCAAATACTCTGTTTCACCACTCTGTTCTTAGCTATCTCCACCTCTCAAGTCACCACTGCTTACAAATTCAAATTCGATTACTTTGGTAATGGTACTGATCTCATATCATTCCATGGAGACGCTGAGTATGGTCCTGACACTGATGGCATGAGCCGGTCCGGAGCCATCGCATTGACCCGAGACAACATCCCTTTCTCTCATGGTCGAGCCATTTTCACCACTCCAATCACTTTCAAGCCTAATGCTTCAGCTCTTTACCCTTTTAAAACCTCTTTCACTTTCTCCATTACTCCTAAAACAAACCCTAATCAAGGTCATGGCCTTGCCTTCATCGTCGTCCCAAGTAACCAAAACGACGCCGGTTCCGGTTTAGGCTATCTCAGTCTTCTGAACCGAACCAACAACGGTAATCCTAATAACCACCTCTTTGCCGTTGAATTTGATGTCTTTCAAGACAAATCTCTTGGCGACGTGAACGATAACCATGTCGGAATCGATATTAATTCGGTTGATTCGGTGGTTTCTGTGAAATCCGGTTATTGGGTTATGACAAGAAATGGTTGGTTATTTAAGGATTTGAAGCTGAGTAGTGGAGATAGATACAAGGCTTGGATTGAGTACAACAATAATTATAAAGTCATCTCTGTTACGATTGGTTTGGCGCATTTGAAGAAACCGAACCGGCCATTGATTGAAGCAAAATTCGATCTTTCCAAGGTTATTCACGAGCAAATGTATACCGGTTTTGCCGGTTCGATGGGTCGTGGTGTCGAGCGTCACGAGATCTGGGACTGGACTTTCCAGAACTAGAAAACCGGTTCGGTTTGTTTCTGGTTTACTCTCTGTCGTGACTTCAGCTTGTGATAACTGAAATGAAATAAATGCCTTACCGACATTGTGATGTATTATTGTTGTCAGATTAGTAGAAAATTAAAGACGTTTAATTCCTGATTTAGTACTACTATATCCTAATCTTCTATGTTAGTCATTTTCATTACTTTTAAATACATTTCTCGTTGGCAAAAAATATACTATGATTTAAGTGAACCGTGCATAATAGATAGTGTTGGGTGAGATTTGCAAGATTTTTTGTAGGTCTGGGCGTTCAGATCCGGTTCGGTTCTATTCGGTTTCGATTGTTTTGGTTATAGAGTTTAGGTTCCATTCGGGTATTTTAAAATTTTAGTTTGGTTTCGATTCTTTCAATTTTGAATTTTAGTATCCATTTAGATATTTTGTTTCGGATATTTAGCATCACATACTTTCAAGTGCGGCAATCAGTTTGTTAGAATAGAATTTGATGTTGTTTTGGTGGAGGATCGTGTTAGGCAACAATGATCATGCGATGAGCGAAATGAAACATTGACCTAGGACTTCCATAATAGTTTTCCAGCGCCTCAAAAAAGCATTAACTACTAGGCACCTGAATTTAATAATTTTTGCAACAGTAAACTATCAATTTTCTAAGACTTTAAAATTTAAAATTTTCTAAGACAATAAACTTTCACTTTTCTAGCAGTACCTTAAGACTTTAAAATCTATTGTCATTTTCTTGCAACTCCAAAAATACCAAAACAATTTTTTTATTATTTTTTTGCGTTTGGGCTCCCTAAATGTCAGGGCCTACTAGCTAATTTTAAGTTTATTGGGCTTTAATGATAAAAATCTATAATAATTATTTTGTTCTTTCGTTTTTCCATCGGTCTTGAATTCGGAAATTAATGGTTTTTGAATAAAAAAGTGAGTCCTTTCATGTGTCCAGTTGGCGCTATCAAATTTGACCTACATATATATGTTTGAAAAGTCAAAGTTGATGGCTCACTTGCTTTTGTCACCCTATATATAACAGTATAACACCACCACTTCCACTTCCATAACACCAACAACAAAACATACCCTTTAAAAAATACACGTACACACAAAGTCACAAACTCATAATGCAGATCCAAAAACTCTGTTTTTTTGCTTTGTTCATATCTTTGTTCAGCTCTAAACCCATTTCCGCCGTCAAATTCAACTTCAACCATTTCGACGGAACCAATCTAATCTTCATCGGATACGCCGAGCTAGGACGAGCAACCGATGGCATGAGCCGGTCCGGAGCTCTTTCCATGACCCGTGACAACATTCCATTCTCACATGGCCAAGGTCTCTACACAGATCCAATCCGGCAATCCCATTCAAATCTTCCAACAACACTTCTTCTTCTGTTTTCTCTTTTAAAACATCTTTCACTTTCTCCATCACTCCTCGCCGGTCAAACCCTAACCCTGGTCATGGTCTCGCCTTCATCGTGGTCCCAACCATAAACTACGACCAAGACTCAACCCGTGGCTTCCTCGGTCTAGTTAACCGCACAACCAATGGAAGTCCTAGTAACCATCTCTTTGCGGTCGAATTCGATGTTTTCCAAGACAAACGTTTTGGTGATATTAATGATAATCATGTTGGTGTCAATATTAACTCTGTTAACTCAAAAGTTTCTGAGAAAGCTGGTTATTGGGTTCAGACAAGAACCGGAGGGAAGAATCAATGGTTGTTTAAGGAAGTGAAGCTTAGTAGTGGAGATAACTATAAGGCTTGGGTTGAGTACAAGTTACTGTTACGCTCGCACCTGCGCATTTAGAGAAACCGAAGAGGCCATTGATCGAAACACAAGTTGATCTCTCTGAGGTGGTTCTTGAAACAATGTATACCGGTTTTGCCGGTTCGATGGGTCGTGGCATCGAGCGTCACGACATTTGGAGCTGGAATTTCGAAAACACCGCCAAAAACAACTAGCTAGTTCGGTTTAATTTATTTTATTTTGGTTTGATTTATGTTTTGGTTTTGTTCTCTTTGCCACCGGTTTAACAATTTTCCTATTTTCTCTTGAATTTATTCAAAAGTGGTTTAAAAGAGAGTACAAAATGTCAAAATCAAATTAAAATTACTTTTATCGATTGAAACTAAAATTTTGTATGAGAGAAGAAAACATGCCCACTGTCCCGGACCAATGACCATCACCGTAAGAAATCTTCATTGCCATCATTGATTTTGTATTAATAAAGAACCAAATGAAGACAGAAGACTGATTAAATTTTAAACCAAAGCACAATCACGTGATATTGTGGTCATCACACTCACCATATTGAATCGCTTATGGTTATATTATTTCATTGATAGTATGTGTTTAAATAAAATATTGAGAGCTTTATAATCTCTAATCATAGAAAAAGAAAAAACACGTGGCGTGTCCGGACGCATGTGAATTTGTAATTTACCACTTACGTTGTCGACTTGTCTCAATCCATTCCATGGAAATGGAAACTCCCCTCTGGTCATTAAATGCTCCTACCAATACATTCTCTTTCCCTTCCCCAAAACCAATAATACAAACAATTTTGTTTATCTTATTCAAAGATGTACAATCATTTCTTTAGGTACTCTTTCTTCTAAATCTTCAATATATTTATCAACAAATTTTTAATTATTTTTTTGGTCATTTAAATTCCTAATATAGCCTTGCAAAAATGTATAATATGATTTGGACCACAACATAATTTAAACATTCCTCTTTGAAGAAAATTGGTCATTCTTTTTTAAAATTACATTTCACTTTGACCCCATGGGTTACTTATATTTACATATTTGGCCCAAAACCAAAATACGAAAAAAGTTTTTAGCTTTACGTTCTTTTGATTTCCTAGGTCGTCGTTTAACCACGTTGCTTGCGTGGAAAGAGAAGTGAAAGATTATCAAAAAGCGAAAAATAATCAACAAAACCCTCACTGTGAAGTAAAAATCGTAGGCCCAAAATAGATTTTCTTTGCCAAGAATTTAATTTTTATGAATCTGATTATTGCTTTTCTACGAACTCTCTGTTTGCGAGATGTGTGGTTGTCAAAAAAGGATCGTTTCTTCGGTGCCTCTTAGTCTCTCCTCAAGTACTTCTTCTTATCTTCTTCTTTGCTTTTCTTTTATATATACAGAGTTTAGTGGTCAAGAACCTTCCTCGTGTTTGTCTCTTTATGTAATCAAAGGTTGCATTTTTATTCGAATATATTTTCTGATTTTGGTGTTTTCTGTCAAAGGGTCTTTTAAAAATCTTAACTTTCGTTCTAAATTTCTTTACTTTTTTTCGATTAGGGTTTTTGGGATGGGATCATGAAATGAAGTATTGGAGAATCCAGAGGAGTTTATTTGGTAATTTCTGGTAATCAAATGAAGGGTTCTTCAGAATCTAATTCCAGAGGATTAAACAACACATCTGGTGTTTCAGAGTTTTGTACTGATGGTTCTAAGTCTTTGTCTCACATTGATTATGTCAGAAGCTTACTTGGTTCACACAAAGAAGATAACTTGGTTGGACTTGATGACGACTCTATTGTTAGAGCTTTGGAATGTGAGGATGTTAGCTTGCGTCAGTGGTTAGACAATCCGGACCGATCCGTTGATGCCTTTGAGTGTTTTCACGTTTTCAGACAGATTGTTGAGATTGTGAATGCAGCTCACTCTCAAGGCATTGTTGTTCATAATGTTAGGCCTTCTTGTTTCGTTATGTCTTCGTTTAACCATGTTTCGTTTATCGAATCCGCTTCTTGTTCGGATTCCGGTTCTGATGAGGATGCAACAACAAAGTCTCGAGAGATTGGTAGCTCAAGAATTCTATCAGAGAGACGAAGCAAGCAACTAGAGGAAGTAGAGAAGCAACCTTTCCCTATGAAACAAATATTAGCAATGGAGATGAGTTGGTATACAAGTCCTGAAGAAGATAATGGTTCTCCGAGTAATTGTGCTTCTGATGTTTATCGTCTTGGTGTTCTTCTCTTTGAGGTTTGTGCATAAGAAGATTGATTTATGTTCTTAACTGCTTTGTTTTCTTGAGAAAACTGATTTGATGAATCTTAGTCTTTGTGCAGCTATTTTGCCCTGTCTCCTCAAGAGAAGAGAAGTCAAGAACTATGTCTAGTTTAAGACATCGTGTTCTTCCACCTCAGATATTGCTCAATTGGCCTAAAGAAGCTTCCTTTTGCTTGTGGTTACTGCATCCTGAGCCTAGCTATCGACCATCAATGAGGTGATTGATTCTCTGATTGATGTTTTAGTTTCATTGGGAAAAGTTTTGTCCTTTAAAGAGTATTGACTCATTTGTCTTTACTGGTGTAGTGAGTTGCTACAAAGTGAGTTTATTAACGAACCTAGAGAGAATTTGGAAGAACGTGAAGCTGCGATGGAGCTACGGGATAGAATCGAGGAACAAGAGTTATTGCTTGAGTTCTTGTTTCTAATTCAACAGAGAAAACAAGAAGCTGCAGACAAATTGCGGGATACAATATCGCTTCTTTCTTCTGATATTGATCAAGTCGTAAAGCGACAGTTGGTTTTACAGCAAAGAGGGAGTGATGTACGTTCGTTCTTGGCCTCAAGAAAACGGATTAGACAAGGAGCTGAGACCGCTGCGGCTGAGGAAGAAAATGATGAGAATACCATTGATGAGGAATCTAAGCTTGATGATACTATAGAACATACGCTTCTTGAAAGCTCTCGGTTAATGAGAAATTTGAAGAAACTAGAATCAGTCTACTTTGCAACGCGGTACAGACAGATTAAGGCTGCTGCTGCTGCTGAAAAACCGTTGGCTAGATATTATTCGGCATTGAGTAGTAATGGTAGAAGTTCAGAAAAAAGTTCAATGAGCAGCCCGGCACAACTACCAAAAGATCCTATCAATGATTCAAGACAGGGCGGTTGGATCGATCCATTCCTCGAGGGTTTGTGCAAGTATTTATCTTTTAGTAAGCTAAGAGTGAAAGCCAATTTGAAGCAAGGAGATTTGTTGAACTCGTCTAACCTTGTTTGCGCAATTGGGTTTGACCGTGATGGGGAGTTTTTCGCCACGGCTGGCGTCAACAAAAAGATCAAGATATTTGAATGCGAGTCGATAATAAAAGATGGCCGGGACATTCATTACCCGGTTGTGGAACTTGCTAGCCGGTCTAAGCTTAGTGGTATATGTTGGAACAGTTATATTAAGAGCCAAGTCGCATCAAGTAACTTTGAAGGCGTGGTTCAGGTAAGTTCACGATTGAAAACAAGAAATAGTACTTACTAATCAATGAAAAATACGAAAAAAAACTTATAACTAAGATTAATAATTTCATAGGTTTGGGATGTTGCAAGAAGCCAGTTGGTTACAGAGATGAAGGAGCATGAGAAGCGCGTATGGTCCATCGATTATTCATCAGCTGATCCAACATTGTTAGCCAGCGGTAGTGACGATGGTTCGGTTAAGCTCTGGAGTATCAATCAGGCAACATTCTAAACTAAACCAAAACGTATTTACTTCTTTGAGGGATATATTTTAACTGTTGAGTTTGTTTTCCTCTCTTTTCAGGGGGTTAGTATTGGAACCATCAAGACAAAGGCAAACATTTGTTGTGTCCAGTTTCCTTCGGAGTCGGGTCGGTCTTTAACATTTGGTTCAGCAGATCACAAAGTTTACTACTATGATCTAAGGAACCCCAAGCTTCCTCTTTGCACAATGATTGGTCACAACAAGACCGTGAGTTATGTCAGATTTTTAGATTCATCAACACTTGTGTCTTCTTCGACGGATAACACGCTGAAGCTATGGGACTTATCAATGTCTATTTCTGGTGTTAACGAAACGCCTCTTCACTCATTCATGGGGCACACTAATGTTAAGGTACCTTCTTATTCGAACTTCGTTTCTTTTGCTTCTTCATTCCAAGCCTGCTTTCTAAGGTTATAAATACATTTCTGTTCTTGCAATGTGTGTAGAACTTTGTTGGATTATCGGTCTCTGACGGGTATATAGCAACAGGCTCAGAGACTAATGAGGTATGTTTACTCTCACTTCAGAAAAAAGGAAGAAACTTTGGTCTTATTTGTTGCAAAAAATGAAGAACTTTTGATCCCAATGTACTTCACTGGACAGGTTTTTGTGTACCACAAGGCATTTCCAATGCCGGTTTTGTCTTACAAGTTCAAAACTATAGACCCTGTGTCGGATCTCGAAGTAGACGATGCCTCGCAGTTCATATCCTCGGTCTGCTGGCGGGGACAGTCCTCGACCTTAGTCGCTGCAAATTCCACTGGCAACATCAAGATTCTGGAGATGGTATGAACCAATATGGCTCAGTAGCAAAATGGTAATTTTCCAGGGTTTGGATTGGTATAGGAAACAATTTTTGGGAGAGAGAGAGTAGGAAAAGTGAAAACATTGATGCTACTAAAGAATTGTGTATATAGAAGAATATATAATCTTTGTATTTGTATAGTACTTATTATAAACCCTAATGAGACCAGTGGGTAACTTAACATACAAGTAACAATAGTTAATTACTTCAAAAGAATAATACAATCAATCTATGGTGTATATAGAGCCTGCAACTGCAAGATTCTCTCCAAGTTTGTTTTCTCCATCCACAAGTAATTGATTCTCTATACACATTGATTCTTTCCTGATTTAGCCTCTGTAACTATCATATCTACAAGCCCCTTGAGCCTCACAGCCCCTGAGCTAGGCCTGATCCTAGCCACGTCTTCGACAACCGAGCACTCTGGTTTCCCACTGCACCAACCGCCGGGAGTAAAACCGTCTTCGTTCATCCGAAGAAGCAGTTCCTTATCGATCTTATCCAAAACTGTGTCATTTCTTCTGAATTTCCGACCAAATGCAGATCCGCTCGCAATCATATTTCCCATGTCTCTTAGAGACAACATGCGAGGATGCTGCCTCGGCGGCTTATCCCATGCAATGTAGTGAAGATCATGGTTTACCGCGGTTTTGGAGAACTCGGGCACGTTACATATGACTGTATGGAAGTAACCTTCAGGAGAAGAAACGAAATTGGTGTAGTACATGAGTAAAGTTCTTGGTAAATTGTCCCAACCCCATATGATATACTCCACGAATGAGTGCGATAGAGCCATCCAAGCTGATCCTGCAGAAAGAAAACCAACAAATATTGCTAACAAGAACAGAGTAAATATGTTTTGAAGCAGGATTAGAAGAACAGAACTGACCGGTAAATAACTTGAAAGCAGCGGGTAAACTTCGATTAGGTCTGACCCATAAAACGTTTGATTTGTTTGCCATATAGAGTCCGGGATCAATGATTAATGGCATTGCCCGCTTCTTGCTTCACCGTGAGACACCAAGAAACTTTAGATTCAAGTAATGGGAAACTAAAAGAATTCAGTAACTGAGACAAGAAGAATTAGCTCACTTTTTCCAGGCTAAGCGACTTGTGTGTTCGATAAAGTTGAGGTTCCGGTCCAAAGTGGAAAACGTATGAATCAGATCTTCAAACATAGAACATTGTTTGTCAGTCCCAACAAGAGGATCAAGATCAAGAACACAAGGAAAAAATCGAAGCATTTACCATCTTGAGTCACGAGGGGATAATCCGAAGCACTAAGATTGATAAACCAATCCCAATCCGGGGTTCTTTTAAGTAGAATCGCGCATGCGTGAAGGGTATTCGCCACCATTGTTGGTCCGGTATAAGTCACAAGATTAGCTTTGGCTATCATATAGACATTCCCTATTTTTGAATACATAGGATCGTTTTTAATGCGAGAAGCCAACTCTGATCTCTCATCAACCGGTGATTCAAGATCCAAGTGAACAATGTATTGGTTTCTTGGATGGTACAATGCTCTAAGAGTTCTCCAAAGGCTTTCAAGATCTCCTTTAGATCCTGAAACAAGGTAAGCGAAACGTGGGAGCTTGTCGACTTCAAGAGGTTGTTGTGCTACAACATCCGAATCATTTTTGGCGAAACGGGATAAAGTTCCGTTGATCGGTGGTCGAAGTGAAGAGATTAAACCAATGTTGAAGGAAGTTGCAATGAGTACAACGCAGACAAGAGATGTGATCACTAATGAGAATACACATTTCTTCTCCATAAACACATACCTCATTGAAGAGAATTTGTGGTCATGAGACAAAAGCATGACACCAAAATCTGAATCAAAACCTCTTTAGCAATAATCTTCTTCTGCAAATACATCAATTTAGCTGATTATATATCCTCAGCTCAAGCTCGAATTAGGCCACTAGAATCATCACACACTAAGTCCCATTATACAAATCAAGATTTCAGATAAACTTTTAAGTGCATAAATTTTCAGAAACATAGAATGTTTTTTATCCTCTAAAACCTCTCTGACCAGAATTTATGAGTCAATTAGCCAATCAGACAACTAAACAGCTAGTTTAATATCAGCTCAAGTAACTCTTCACCAAAACCACACAAAAAAGTTACAAGAAAACGTCTCACACGATAAGCAAAATCAAATCTAAGAATTGAAGGAATAGAGATTGGAACCTGAGTTTTTTTGCAAAAGAGGAAGAACAAAGAATTTTGCTTTGGTTTGATACATAAAAACAGTCTTGTGTGGACTAAAATTGTCTAGAGGAATGACTTATGAAAATTTTCCAAAAATAAATACAAAACCTTTCTTCCTCAAAAAGAAGATGGAAGTTTCGTAGAGGTTATATCCAATTCTTGTGAAGCTACTACACGAAATCGGAAAGATATAAAAAAAATCATATATTTTGCTCTCTCATCTTTAAATTCCTTTATGAAAGTGATATCAGAAAAAAAGAATTCATATATCTTGCAAGGCGAAAATGATATTATCAATTAATTAAAAATATCTTCACCAAAAAACAAAAAAGGGTTTTGTTTACATGAATATATTTTTCTTTACATATTTATGAAAAGTGAATAAATGCAAAAAAGGTTGAAATTTTGCATAACATAATCTGTTTGTAGAGACACATGTAGCAGATTAGCTCTTTAAAATTTAATTTTAAAATGTTTTCAAAACAAAATTAATTTTAAAATGTATAAATATAACATATTCCGCAGTCATTGGGTTATGCAATTGTAACATACGCATAAGGAAATCTAATAACAACACCTGAACTAACAACACTACCATTCTTTTCTTTTTCCTTTTTTTGATTATTATTACTTTGCCATAATACTTTTCTATTTCTTCTGCTAGTATCAAATTCTCTCTCTTTTTTTTTTTTTTTTTTTTCTCTTCATATGTTGCCATAATTAAGAAAACTTCTCTTTTTCTCTAGCTTATTTCAAATTTATAGAAATTTAATGAATATAATGGTTAACTATGTAATAAATAATAATAAATTAGTTGGAATTAATTGCGAGTAGGAAAACAAAAAAAATTATATATATTGGGTTGAATTTGTAATAATTGTACTAGAACAAGTCATAGAGTAAGGTCCGAATGGGCCAGTAGGGCACGTTTATACCTGATGAAATCATGAAACTAATTCAATAAAAGTATTAAATATAATTTTTGTTTATAGAAGACAAATTCTTCCAACCAAAAAAAATATACTAATGACCAATGGCAATTAGTTTTGATTAATTCAGATTAACATTAGAATTGACTGTTGACCTTAAAGGACCTTACCAGACCAAAGACTAGGGGTCAATAAGTGTACATAATTAATAATAATAATATGTTAAGAAGAAATTAATAAATAATTTTCCATGTCAAAGCAAAAAAAAAAACGTATTTTTTTTGGATTTCAAGAAGAAACAAGAATCATAAATTGAAATGTGAACGCAAAAACAAGAAATCTTTAATCTTTTCCTCAGTTTCTTCTTATGGGATCAACAAGAACTAGTCTAACCTCTTTCTTGATATTCGAAAGATCTGGTTTTTACTTCTTCAAACTTCTAAAGTTTCTTCCTTTTTTTCCGTTAAAAATTGGATCTTTTCTTCAGCTAAAACCCTGAAGATTCTTGTGGGAAGAATTTGTTTCAACACTCGTCTTTTTCTCTTCTTGTTTCTTTCTGGGTAATGTTCTGTGATTCTACATTTTCTGTAATTAAGAACTGAATCTGTTGAGTTTGATATAAAGGTCTCATCTTTGGCTATTTCTTAGAGCAGGACCAAATGAGTGCGTCGATTTTACTCGGGAAGTTAAACGGCGATGAATCATCTACGGTGACCACCGAGGAAGACGACGAAGCTGTATTTTCCGGTGATAGTTCACTCGTAGACGTAGCTGAGGAAGTGTGGTCTGGAGAGAATCTTTATTGTTTTTACTTCGTGAAGCAATTCGCTTACGACGACCCTGAGATTAAGGCCAAGATTGATGAAGCTGATAATGAGATTTATCATTGTAACACTAACCGGATTCACATTGCTAACAGATTGAAATCCAAAAGGGTAAGTCTTTTTTTGTTTTGTTGATTTATTACATTTTGAAATGGTTTTGATTAGAAAGTGTGTGTTTTTGGTGTAGGCTGAGAGATTGTCTTTGGTTGCTTCAATGGAGAATTTGATTTCATCACTTGATGAATACAATGCTGTAGGGAAGGAACAAGAAGTGGTTACAGGGAGAATTTACAGTTTGAGTGAAAGATTAAGTGAGATTAAGATGGATATTGAGTTGTTGGATGTTCAAATGGCTTGTGTACTTGATCAAAGAGATAAAGCCGTCGAAAGGATTAAGTTCTTGAGGATACAACGAGACAAAGGGGTGCGATTTTTCCGCCTCTCCTTTTGTGTCAAGTTTGTTTCTTTTTTCATCAGTTGGTTCTTAAAGATTTGTTTGTTTATCGGGTGTGTTTTTGCTTTGTAGAATGCCGCATTTTACCAGAGTCGTGTTGTCATGAAGAAAGCTATAGAATTGGCTGCTTCTGGAAATGTTAGAGATCTTGAAGAGCTTGCTGATTTTGAGGTTTGTTTTGTCAGTCTATTGGGTGTGTCTCTCTGAGATTTGAGCATTTGTTCTTAACTTTTCTTTGTGTCTTGTGTTTTTGATAGGTTGAAAAATTTATGTCTCGTTGGAACAATGACAAGGCTTTTAGGGATGATTATAAGAAAAGAATCTTGCCTTCATTTGATGAGCAAAGGCTGAAGCGTTACGGACAGATTAGGAGCCCGGAAGGCGATATAGATACTGAGAATGGAAGTGAAACAGCGGGGAAAAACGCAATAGAATTCAAGAGGTTTAGTACTGAGGAGGAGAGTGATGATGTTATGGATTTTGATATACCGGTGTATGAAAAGCATGGAAAGGAGGAAGAAGAGATTGATGAAGAAACTTTGAAGGAGAAGAAACGAGAGGAGCAGTTAGAGAAAGCTAGGCTAGCGATGGAAAGGAAGAGGAAACTACATGAGAAAGCTGCTGCTAAAGCTGTCATACGAGTTAAGAAAGAAGCTGAGAAGAAACTTAAGGAGCTTGAGAAGAGAGCGAAGAAGAAGAAGGCTGCATTTAACTCTTCTTCTATGAATGTAGACAGAACAACTGAGATAGTCACCGAGGCATCAGAACCAGAAAAGGAGAAGCTATTAAATGGGAGATCAGTGTTTCCAAAACAGAGAAGCTTTTGTTATAGACATCACGGAAAAGGAAATGACGCTGTCCTCAAAGCCATCATAAAGCGTAGAAAAGCTGATAGGTTATGGGTTTGGACTGTTTCCTCCGCTGCAATTGCTCTCCTACTCGCTCTCCTCATTGTTTTCTTTTACGTTCGATGAGAGAAAAAAGAATCATGAAAAAGGTTTCTTTGACTTTTTGGAAAGTAAAGTGATGAGCAAGCAGCTTCAAGGTATAAAGTTAGTTTAGAAGCAAATGACATTGGCAAATAATGTCATAGTCGAGATGGAGTAGACTGAACAGTCGTATTTGGTGTCATATATTTCAGAGTAGCAGAGACATTCACCTCCATGGTGAGATATGTTTGACATTACACAGCTGATTCGGTCGAACATCATGACCTGGAGAAGCTCTTGCACAAAGATAAGGTTAAGATGTTTTGACCAGATCAACTTTGGGACCTCGAACATCTCTACATGGACGCAAATGTCTTGACCATGATTCCAAACACAGTCACTTAGTAGTTTTTATATGTTTTGATCTCTTAGTTGAGTCGTAGGAACCAAAAAGCATCCTCTTAGTCTTGTGTAGTAGCTTCAGAAGAATGTGTGTACATGGAAGAGAGACCTCATGAATTTTTTTAACTTTTTTTACCTAAACAAAAAAAAACTTGTGGACTGACTACAGAAAATCTTGGACAACAATAATTAACTTGTTCTTGTTGTATAGATCTTATTCGATTAACCTAAGTTTCCCAGAGGTTTGCTAATTGCTACTTTGCTTGGAGCAAACCTTCGAGACCAGACTGAGGTGTTCAAGTTGTATTAGATGATGACAAAGAAACCTTCTAATGGAGTTAGAGGCTTTCTCCTTAAGCTAAGGTTTCAGTCAGAGACGAGAACAGCTATGGCTGTCACAAGCTTGGCTCCTCCATGGATCATCTTGCGACAAACTTTCCGGTCAGTGGCAGCTTCTTCTTACCTTCACTCAAATCACAAAACCCTAATCTCAAATCTCCAAATTCCCACTTCGTTTCCTCTCCGACATTCAGGTTCATTTCCATAACTTATCTTGGTTTTGCTTACTACTTTATGTTCGTCTGAAGTTTTGATTTTGGATTCACCATCTTACTTATTTAATTGATTCTTCTTGATGAAATTTTGCAACTTTTCTTTGGGAATTTAGAGGTTAGGGCATGAACTTGTCTTAGTGTGTGATGATTCAATCAAAAGTTGTTTGTTCTGATGAAATCTGTAATAAAAATTGCAGCTTTGAGAAGATGTTACATTGTAGAAGCTATAAAAGGAGATGTAGATTCTCTCCTCAAAGGAGTTGGAGACCAAGCTGTTGCCAAAGAAGTCAAGCAAATTCTTGAAATGGTATTCTCTACCTTAATTCTCCATTGAGAGTCTTCCATCTTCATATTCTCAAAGGGATTGTTTGTTTATTAGGCGAGACGGGCAGCATCAAAAAGAGAAGTTCTTCATACAGATTTCCTCACACCACCTATTGTTAAGGAATCAGTTTCAGTATTGGAAAAATTTGCTGATGTTAAGATAGTTGCTCAAGGAGGTTACCCTGAGGTCGGTTTTTAATTTTTAAAAGAAAGCTTCCTCTGAAAATGTTAACTTAAGCTGAGAATTTTTGTGTTCTCAGGCTGAGCGGTGTAGGATCTCGATTGGACATCCTGATGTTCTAACTAATGATCCAGATATAGTTGCTGCTTTGAGGTACAAGACATGAATGGTAATGTTCCTTTCTTGAGTTTTTGTTCTTGTATGAGTCTTGAGTATGTTTATGTTGGTATTTCTAGTATCACAGGGAATTTCGGGTTTCAACCTTGTTCTCATGGTGACTTCCTTGGCGCGATTCTTGGCACGGGAATTTCCAGGGAGAAACTTGGTGATATTCTAATTCAGGTATCATCTGATTGATTCTGTATAACAACATTTGTCAGCTCCATTTACAAAATCTTTCCTTTAACATCGTTTCTTTGGCTATTTGACTTCGGTGGTACTGAAGGAAGAAAAGGGAGCCCAAGTCCTGATAGTTCCCGAACTAGTTGACTTTGTTGTTTCCGCTCTTGACAAGGTTTAAACTTTTGTGGCTTATTTGTATAACCCATTAGCCAATATCTTGCTCTGCATTACTCTGACCCTATGATGTAAATAAATCTTTTTCATAGGTTGGAAATGTTGGTGTAACTTGTACTAAGATACCTTTGCTTGCTCTTGAATACGAACCGCCTAGGTATGAGCGCACTAATTCCTAGAAACATACCTTCTTTTGCAGTGAAAAGGTTTTCTTTTTTGCATTGGCTTGATTGTTTTGTTTGTTAGGACTAATTCCTTTAAAACCGTGGAAGCCTCGTTGAGAATTGATGCAGTAGCTAGTGCTGGTTTCAAGATTTCGCGGTCAAAGCTAGTTGATTTGATTAGGTAAAAAAAAGCGTTCTTTTTCCATTTGATCATTCATTGCATTCTCATATTTGCTAAAGAAAATTCTTCTATGTATGCAGTAACAAGGACGTTCGGGTTAACTGGGCAACCGTTACCAAGAACGGAACCACAGTAAAGACCGGTGATGTTGTCTCCGTTAGCGGAAAAGGGAGACTCAAGGTAAGGTTGCTGGAAAGTGATTTTAGTTAGTGATTAGTTTCAAAAACGTTAACCTTTTGTGTTCATTGTGTTCATTCACAGATTGGGGAGATCAATGAAACGAAGAAAGGGAAATTTGCAGTTGAAATCATCAGATATCTTTAGAAAGAAAGCTGTAACAAATTATCAATTATTCTTTTTCTTCTCTTATAATTTTACCTTTATTTTTATCTGTTCTCGTTTCTTCGTTTGTTGACATTTGTATTAATCATAGCAAAATCAGATTAATGAGTTAATCTTGATTTTTTGTGATCAAAAGTTAATCTCTATTATAATGTAAAAGAACCGACGAAAAAATCGTCTATACATTACAAAGTATAACATTTTATTTACTTATGTATTTTTTTTATTAAATAATCATGTTTGTGTTTACATATGTATACTCTCACTCACAAACTCATTACATGCGTATGCATGAAGATTTTGTATACGTGAAATCCTTACGTATGCTAATAACGGTTTCTTCAAGAAAACCCAAAATATAACAACTCAAAATTAAGATATAACACTTACTTTTTCATTTTTTGTCTATATAAATGATCAAGCATACCCACAATACCCATACTCACATTTAACCCCGGACGCACACTTCCTCGTGCATTTCCCACAATGGTTCGGGTTAAAGTTAACGTAAGTGCAAACGCCACCGCAACAACGTTGCCCAAAACCACATTTGTGACCGCATCGACCACAATTGTTCTTATCTCCTAGAACATTCCGACAATGCTTCTTGCAGCAATGCAAGAGGCTCGTCCCTTTATTCGCTTTTACGCCATTGCAAATGTTGTAACTCGCGACGTGACATCTCATTCCTTTCTTGATCTTCTTGTAGTGAGAAACTAGTAGCCTAGTTTTGGATGAAATTGTCACATTTGAGAGTATCGAGGGAGTTTCGTCGAGAATGTAGTACTCCGGGTCATCTTCTTGGTCGGCAACTTCATCGGCTAAAACCGAGTTAGTATTAGATGTTGTTGTTAATAGGATGTAGAGGATTAAGGAGAGAAGTGAAGTGGCTTTAATGAAAGTATTAGGGATCTTAATGACCATTTTGTTTTAAGTAAAAATTAACCAAAGAGAGTTTGGCTTTGGAGCAGAGAAGAAGCAAAGGAAAGGAAGAGGAGTGGGACTTAAGGGAAGATATGTGTTCTTGCGAATGAAGAGGTATTTTAAGGCAGCAAAAACATTATTGACATTCGATTTTTAATTTATTTTAAAGAAAATTGACTTTTTTAGGCAATTGCTTAAATGAGTTGATTTTTCCTCAAATCTAGGCTACCACAAGTGATTGTTGTTTAGATTACGTCATACAATTTTGGATCTGCTTGGCGAATAAGGTTTTCAATGGTAAGGTAAAACAAGAAAATAGCATGTCGCTCTAAATATATAGGTACTATGAACAATACGGTACATTTGCTTTTCTCTTCTATTAGTTTTCATAGAATTTGAAGTTTTGGGTCGAACTCTAAATTAAGTTTTGGAGATTTATGGAGTTGGAGTCTATATATAGTAGTAGTAATGGAAAATTCGAACATTAATTTCGATTCACTAACAAACAAATATATACATGACTATTGTACTATTATTGCTTCCATATTTGCTTGTTACTTGCTAGCTCTACTACGTATTTTTACTTTCTGTCACTTTAACTAGCTTTTCTATTCATTTTTTTAATCACTTTGTTGATTGATACGTTTTTTCAGAAACATAAGTGTTACCGTCAAGACAAAAGAAGTACCAATCCAATTCCTTTCACTTGTGTTTCTAGCTATTACATACGATTTATGTATATCAACTATCAATAACGTGATATGCATATTCCTATAAATATCACATAATTGAATCAATATTATTGATGATCAAAAGGTTACTTTTGTTCTGTTGTGTATTATAATACCGTTATTATATATACTAGGACTCAAGACCCCCGCGATGTCGCGGGGGAATATATTTCAAAAATCGTTTAAAAAATATCAAACGAAAAATCATAATGAATTGTAATAATTTTGATTTTTTTTAATATCAAATCAATATATATTTTACAAAAAATTTGATAAAGAAAACCCTCACAAGCATTTATTAATTTTATGAATATTAGAAAAACATTAATTTGTAACTAAAAAACTATTCCCAAATGCAAAAAGCATCAAATAATAAACCAAAGGTTACAACGGTTTGATAAATAAACCAAAATATTCAACGTCAAATAAACCAAATGCTACTATGTTAAATAAACGGTGACAATAATTTATTTAAATATATTTTAGTAATTAAATATTTTTTACAAAATATGACAAATTTTAACCGAGAGATGTGACCGTAGATATCAAATATACCAAAAGCTGCAACGGTCCGTCAAATATACAAAATATTGCAATGGTTCATCAAATATACTAAAAATTACAATGACTTGTAAAACAAAACCAAAAGTTGCAATGATTCGTCAAATAATCCAAATATTGCAACATTTCAATTAAATAGTTACAATCTCATTTAAATACATTTTAATAATTAAAAATTAAGAACAAAAAATAATAATTTATGAAAGGTTACCCCGACGGTAGATGATTAAATGTTATGAAGATTTATAAAATAAACTTAAAGTTGCAATTGTTCATGAAATAAACTAAATGTTGCAATGGTTCTACTAAATAAGGATAGGGTTTGCCTATTATCATCGTACAACAAATAATCGTTGTAGCATGACAAAAAATTGGAGTTACGAAAAGAAAGACAATATATAGAGTTGAAAGGTTACAATAAAAAAAACGCAACCGTAAATATTTAAACGAATGGTTACAATAAAAAGACGCAACCGTTCAGATGTGCAAATGGTATTTATTGGAAACGACATAACCGTAAAAAAATTACCGATTAAAACGAAAATTGCGATAAAAAGACGCAACCAAAATAACCGTAAAAAAATAACCGATTTAAACGAAAGGTTGCGATAAAAAGACGCAACCGTTCAGATGTGCAAATGGTATTTATTAGATTGCTATTATATATAGATTATATGTAAATTTGAAACTTGTTTGATCTCGAGTATGAATTAGATTCGTGACTCCGTGTACGAAAACAATAAAAAGAGAGAGTCAAACTAAATTCGTGATTAATTTAGGCTAAAATCCATAATGCAACAAACACCACACATGAGTACATGACTGAAACAAAACAGCACAAGTGCTCTTTGAAATCATCAAAGTGCATGTACATGAGTTGTCTCTTATGACAAGAGTTTTATTCAAACGCTGCACGTGTGGTGACGGTGGAACTAGATCCTTCTTTGTTGCCATTAAAGCCGGTAAGAGTCATACACCGGTTACGCTTACTACGCAACGGAACCTGGCGACTGTAATGTGCTCTCTCTACGTGTCAATATCGAATGCTCGTGATAGTCGTCTCGTCACCGTCTAAGTTGATTACTTTACTAGGACCTTGAGGTCCATAACGTTGAGCCGTTGACCATTAACCCTATTTTACTCGTTGACCTAAACAAAAACAGAAAAGTTGGAGGAATTAATGATATAATCTTATACATATACAACTAATATTGAAATATGTGAGAAAATGATCATGTATTGTTCATTAATTATATATTCTGATCATTGATTCTAAATTTTATGCCGCACATGACATGCAAAGGCTATATAAGCTATGAAGCCTATGTGTGTTGACAAAAATAGAAAATACGCATTAGCATTAAAAAACATCTAATAATAGAAAACTTATGGGAAAAATTTAATGAAAACATATTTTAATCGTATTGGTTTTAGACTTTTAGTTATGGAAGACTCGTTTAATTAGTCGAAGGCGAAGACAGAGATCGAATGTCATAGATGTGCGACTCCACGTTTGATTACTATAGGTATTCTAATTGTAGTAAGAAAAGTAGTTTCCATGAAATTAGTTTGGAATAATACACTACAATAAATAGGGCGTCTTGGTTGTAAATCCTATCATATAAGTTTTATTTTTTGGATTTAGAGTTTCTATGTTTTTTAAGTTTAGGGTTTAAAGTTCAAGTTTTAGAATTTAGCGTTTATATATTTACAAGATTAGAGTTTAATATATATGTTTTAGGGTTTGTAATTAAAGATAATAATTTTGTGGTTTAATTTATAAACTATTTTAATTCTTTTCTATATTACGAAATTTTCAACAAAATACGATTATTGGAAGCATCTGTTGGAATATCACATGTTTTCTTGTATAATATTATAGTGTAGAACTCATCATGTTGCGGTCTCATCTTCAAATGGAACCTGAAATATGCCAGAATGAGATGTTTTTCTACTCCAAATTATAATTTAGGATACATCTTTGTTTTTCTTTGAAAAATCTAAATTGTTTTTTTTTTTACTGGCAGCTTTGAAAAACTAACTTGATATGGTTAATTAGTTTAAATAGTGTTCAAGTTATGGGTTCAGTCGTACTATGCACTAAACAAAAGATTCAAGCCATGTACTACTCTCCATACGCATAAATAATCATAGACATTGATGGACATAGTCCTGAACGTCCAGGTATTCGGTTCTCGTTTGTTTGGATCTCAACTTTAGGTTCCATATAAAAACTAAAGGAATTTTGATTTGGTTCCAGTTCGGGTATCATTCAGTCCGGGTATGTTCGGGTAGTTGAATCAAGAACCGATTTGGAATATTTTTTGTTTCGATTCTAAAATACATAATCAACTAGGATATGACCCGCGGTACACCGCGGGTTAATTATTTGATTTGATTTTTATCTTTTTATAAACTGATGAATTTGTTGTATATAATATTTTTTGTTGTACACCGCAGGTCACATGCGTTGTAACTAAAAAATAGAAATTTTAAGTTGTATTTGTTTTGTTTAGTGTTTAAAATTGTATAATTGTATTTTGATTGGTTAATCCTACGATTTCACCCATGATATATTGTCCCGTATTAATATCAATCCAAACCCGTCCCACCATATAATCCCTTCCCGTAAAATTAAACATCATTTTGTTATTTCTTTTAATAACACTTTTATTTAAAAGACATATAATTCAAGTCAATTTAAAAGTTTGCTTTCAAATGGTTTCCATAATATATATATATATATTTAAATTAGTGTGTGTTTTTGGACTAACCCGTAAAAATAATTTATAATTGTA